GGTCACTGTTCCAGATTTTCTAATGTACAGCCAAGATTGAAGACTACTGAGGGTAGGAGCAGAAAGAATGTAAATGAAGGAGGATTAGAGTAGGATACCTTCATGGAGGATCTGAGCTTTGGAGAGAAGTCTTTGAGAAGATGTCCTAGGCTAAGGAGCAGAGTGGTGACACCTTTTCCAGGTGATCAGTGCCCGTAACATTGTAGCTTCAGCCTAGGGCCGTCTGCTTGCGCCCCACAGCACCTATGCATTCTGAGCAGCACACTTGTACTATATTGTAGTGTAATAGTTTCTCTCTCCCTCTCCTTGTGGACGTTATGGTCCTTGAAGGTAGGGGCATTGCCTTGTTGATCTTTGTAACTCTAGCACCTGTACTTAGTAGGTATTTCATTGCATGGAATGTGGGAGGGAGCACTGGATGTCTAAGGGGTAAAGGAGAGAAGGGGAAGTGATGAGGAAACAGTCCTGACTGGAGCCCATGATGTATGTTGGTGAACCAGGGTGATCAGGCAGGTCAGTAGGGCCAAATTATAGACAAATTTGAAAGCCAGTTACAGAGGGTAGAATCCATCTAGGAAGGCAGATTCTTTGAGGTATAGTATTCTATATTTAATTATTTCATGATTTCTCTATTTCTTATATTCATTCTGAAACTGTAGCTTTTTATTCACTGATACTGCTATGGCTCTTCTCTAAATATAAATATTCAATGCTGATTACTGAATCCTGAGTGGGAGTGAGTGGGAGACTAAGTGTTTCTTTTCAGGGCTGAACTCCACTGTGGTAAGCGGGATGTATTGATGCTAGAACTAACTTAAAACAATCTTATGAATGGGCTTGGTGTTGGGGCCAGAGTATGCAGAGATAACAATTGAACATGAATATAACATCATAGACAGTATAGAGAACAATAGTCAAAATCACCCAGACTCTTTCTCACCCTAATAAAACACTGCTATTTTTGGTTGTTTATTTTTTTCCAGTGTTTTACCTTTGTTCCTTTTTAGAGGTATAATATATATTTAATTGTATATATCCCTTGTTTTTTACTTCTAATATTGTAAACATTTCCCTATGGTGTAATCTTTGCACTATTACTTTTATTTTTTGAAGTGACTTTTACCCTAAAATTTAAGCATTATACCCAAACACTAGGATTAGGACAATGGGAGAAAAAGCCACTCACTTCTATCACTCCAGCATGATGAGCATTTTCGTGTGACATCATCCCTGTGTTTTTCCCCCTCTTTATCACTTTAGTAGTTTACTAGTAGTTCTAATGAGAACTATAATATATATATATAAAATCCACTCCCCCATATCATTATAGGAGAAGTATTTTTCCATGTTGCCCTTAGTCATTATATGCATTATTTTGAAATGATATAGTAATATTTCTGTTGAGTGAATTTTTCTAAAATTTCATAAATAATTTCTGCCTCTTGAGTTTGCATTATAAATCTGAAAAATGTACATTTACATGGATCATATAGCATGCATAGTTTTCTCCATATTTGGGATTATTTCTTAAGGATAGATTCTTTGAACTGAGTCAGAGGATAAGTAACTTTTTATGACTCATTGGTTTCAGCAGAATTTTTGCTAGTTCATGCTGACAGATTGAACTCACTTTTGAATCTTCTCTGTGCTTTATACCTTGTGGAAATATGCAGGCAATGAGAGCCCCATGACTTTTATAAGAAACACCATTGAGAAACAAAATGGGCAGTGGCAAGCTCTCTGGACTAGAGCCTTGTAAACCTGGCTCTCATTTTGACCCTCCAATAAGAAATTATGTGAGTTTGGGCATGATGCTTCACCTTTCTCATATGTAAAATGAAAGTATAGATGAACTGTTAAGTTCCTTTGTGTGTCCCAAGACCTGATTCTAGTATTTTCATGTGACGTTTGGGTATGCAAAAATGTGCTGTAGACCTGAGGTAATCCAGGCAGCAATAGGCTAATAGCTTATTGGAAGAATACCATTTTATGAACCGGTTTCCTTGTCTGCTTATTGCCTATTTCTTTTTTCTTAGCATTGAGAAATTCTGTGCAGAAGGCATCTCCCTGTTGGGAATTCTGGTCCAATCAAGGCATTTGAGAACAGTGGTCCATGTCCTGGATAAGATTCTACCTTTATTCTACCCTTACCAGTATTACCTTCTGAAGAATGAGCAGTAAGTAGTGAACAGCTTAGCCAGTACAATAACTGTGTTTGGCTTCTCAAGTAAAATAGGCAATATTTCAATGGCGTATTTTTTATGAGGCAAAAACTTCCTGCTCAGTTTAGAATGCAAGCTGATGAGCTCTGATTCTAATAATAATTTCCATTACCTTTATGATCATAAAAGTTATTTCCCTTTTTCATTTAATTTTGAATTGCTTATAGCTTTTAATATTTGAAAGAGAGTTGTTCTATGTAACTCTGGGAATAGCGCTTCTGACACTAAGCATCAAATGGCTTTGCCATTGTAACAGTAGTAAACACATTGCTTTTTAATTGTCTGCAGCATTACAAACATAAGATAGAAGGGAGGTGCTCATCACATGAGATATTCACAATCTTGATGAGAAAATAAGACTTTTGAGATAGTTACAAAGTTATGAAGCAAGATCCTGGTAAGGCCATGCTGTGATATATAGATTATATTTGCATTTTATGGTAAAAGTGTGTAGAATTTATGGTAAAAGAAATAGCTACTTAGAGAGGGAGGGAATTAAGGATGTGGTATTAATCAAGATCCTTCATTGCACATGTTGAAAACCCAGTACAGAGTAGTTTCACCAAGAAGGGAATATATTGACTCATGTGATTGGGGAAAAGGCTCATGATAACATCAGGTCTTTCACCAGGCATGTTTTTTAACTAGGGGTGGCTTTTTGACCCTTAGTGGACATTTGGTAATGTCTTGAGATGATTTTGATTGTGTCAGCCTGGCCAGGGATAGGTGGTTGGGTGAGGGGGTGGTGGTTGGGGATTGGTGAAGGCTCAGCTGACACCTTGTGGGTGGAGGCCAGAGATAGTGCTGAACACCCTAGGGTGCTAAGAGAAGCCCTCACGATAAAGGATCAGCCAGCCCCGAATGTCAGAAGTGCCAGTGTTGAGAGACTCTGGATTAGTGTTTTTTTTCCTGTTTATCCTCCCACCCAAGTCCCTTGGCTCTGCCTCCTTTCAGACCTTCCCCTGCAAGTGTACTTTTTCCAGGAGAACGAAGTTCATGGCTACAGAGACCTAGCCATCAGCCTAGGTTCCCATGGGAAAGGCAAATGTTTTCTTTATCATTATTCCTTGTAATGATTCCTGATTGGTCTGACAGGATGGTATAAGAGAGGTCAATGGATTAGATGTGTTTAACATGGTGGGGAGAGGTCAGGAAGTTCTCTGAGGTAGGGACATTGTTGAAGAGATTCAAGGGGTGAGTAGGAGTTTGCCAGGTTAGGTGTAGAGAGTGTTTCAGGTGGAAAACCCAGCAGAAGCAAACACCCTGACAGAGGAGGGAGCCTGGTGCACCCAGGGGACTGAGGCCGTGTCTGTGACTGATACCGTATCTCCCCTAGTACCTTCTATGAAGTTAGCACCCAATATGAGATTGCAGGATGCTTTTATTAACATCTATGCTTTTGTTGGTGAGAGAGGGGAGTCTGGAGGGTTTAAATGGGCTCTTTAGGTTTTTTTTCCTCTCATGTTCTTAAACTTGCACGTGTTTTTGTGTATTGCATCTGTTCATTTCTCTTCTGCAGGTAGATAGAATTCCTTTTAGCCCTATTAATTGGAAAACTTATTTTTTCTGAAATTCCTGAGACATCTCAGAATCCCTAAATAAAGCTTTGGCCTAAAAATGGGGCCAATTCAATATTACTCTGTTTTTTCATAAGTAATTAGCCACTGGAAATTCTGTTGACTTCTGATTGGAACATAAAGTGTGCCATCCTGTGTGCTTGGCAGGTTTCTGTCACACCTCCTTCTGTTCCTGCACTTGGACAGTGGCGTGCCTCAGGGTGTCACGCAGCAGGTCACCCATAAGGTGGCACAGCACCTGACAGGAGCCAGCCATGGGGACAATGTGAAGCTTCTCAACAGCATGATCCAGGTCAGGATCTAGTAAGCCCTTAAATACACCTTTGCCCACCTTCCCAATCAAACACCCCTAGTGCTAGTACATCTGTGTTGGTTGTTTCAAAGCATTTGACACAGTGCTTTTGTCAAGGGGAGCAGATACAGGCCTTTTAGTGGAGGTTGTTATTTTGTTAGTTTTTCAAAAATGGGAGACTGGTTATTACCTTTCACATCTCCTGAGTCCTTTCTCCACAGGCCCACATATCTGTAAGCACTCAGCCCAATGAAGTGGGCCCTGTTGCCGTATTGGAGTTCTGGGTTCAGTCTCTAATAAGCCAACATCTCTGGTATCGAGAACAGCCCATCCTCTTCCTCATGGATCACTTGTGTAAAACAGCTTTTCAGCTGATGCAAGAAGACTGTGTGCAGAAATTACTCTACCAGCAACATAAGGTAAAGCCATTAGAGAATAGCTCTTGTAGTCATTGGCTAGATAGTAACTTTCTAAGAAGCTTCCGGCTGGGTGCAGTGCTCTGTGCTGCTCTGTGGCCCCTGCCTTTTTCCAGCTTTGCCTTATGGTGTCTCATCTCAGTAATCATAGTTTGCTGGTGGAGATCCCAGGGAAGCCAAAGGCAAGCACACCCCAGGAAAAGCTCTGTTTATTGCATTTGGCTGTAGTGCACTGCCTGTGACTAACACTGCTGGTGGACTAATTATTGAAACCTGCGTCTTACCAGAATCCTTCCCTGTAGTAAGATAATTACTGATATTCTTGTAAAGGTCATTGATAAAGTTTTTTTTTTTAAGTCTCCCTTCTGCTCCACATCCTCTCCCCTTTGTAGAATGCTTTGGGCTACCACTGTGACCGGAGTCTGCTCTCTTCTTTGGTGAGCTGGATCGTGGCTGGCAATGTCACGCCTTCCTTCGTGGAGGGCATCGCCATGTCCACTCAGGTAGGAAACCCACTGAGGACCACTGTTGTCTTTGTGAGTTTTAATAGTGTCATCTTTACTAATACCTTACTAACAGTCTGAAATAACATTGATTTTGTACTTATTATGTATAAGAATACTTCCCATTTAACCTTTACAATATACCTCTGCTGAGGTTGCACTGCTGCCATTCCAGTTTCACAGAGGGGTTAACTGGGTTTTAACAGAGTTAAATGGCTGGCTCAGGATCAGACATTTCTTGATCAGACTCAGTCTGCTTGACTACAACCTGCGCAGCAGTGTGGCAGAGAGGTCAGGAGTGGCTGCTCAGGGCTGACCATCTGTGGTGTGGTCTATGTTCTGCTGTTAGCGAGTGCTGTGCCTTGGGCAGCTTGCTTCCCTCTCTGACCCCTGTTTCCTCACTCGTCTGATGGGAGGATTGATTGCACCTGTGTATAAAGAACAGTGCTTAGCACTTAGTCAGTGCTCACTAGGCATTGGCTGTTAGCATTGTTGTCATCAGTCTCATTAGTAATAGTATATTCATCATTATTACTACCCCTCAGACTGAGTGTCAAATTATGTTTTTATTTCATCACTTAAACCAGTGCCAACAACCTTCAGCCTCCTATCAGAGCCTTACCTTCTGCTTTTCCTCACACCTCTTGTGATCTAGCTAAAAACACTCCTTGCTTCACCTGCCCACATCCCTGGTGTTCCCTCTCCGCCTCTGCCTCACTGATTTTCTTACCGGGTGTGCCTCCCTCTCTGTTCCCTGTGTAGAGCCTCTGATACGCCCACCTTCTCTGATTCTGCCCTCTCTCCTCTGGCTTCCCGTGGCACTGGAGCCCTGATTAAGTACTTACTACTTCACATTTTGGTTACTTGTATATTAGTCTCGTCTCCTCTAATAGATGGAAAACTTCTTAAGGGCAGAGCTTGTGTCTGGCCCTTTTTCCTGTCCCTTGTGCATACAGAACCTGCCCAATAAATACTGAGAAAATAAACATCTTCTTTTACTATTAGCTTTTCCAGAAGAATTTGACATTTTTCAATCATCTGTTTTTATCTAAATTTATACATGTAACAAGAATAGGGATACACATAAAAACTATGTGTTAATTTTAGAAACTATGAATATTTGTTGATTGAGATCTATGATAGGAAAGATGTTAATCTGGAATATCAGGATGTATTTTTTCTGAGTGAGCTACTCATTTCCCTTGCTTTTACCTGGTGTCATTTTAGGTCTGGTTTGCATGGACAGTGTTGAATGTGGAATCCATTTTTGAAGAAGATTCCCAGCTCCGAAGAGTTGTTGAAGGGGAATTGGTTATAAACCCTGCTTTTACTCCTGACCAAGCTCTGAAGGTGCAAATATCAGTTCTGCATTTGAGTGGGAGAAGGTGGTTTATACTTTAATGCTGACGCAATCACCTGTAGCTTTTGAACTTTTGTGTTTTCTTTTGTTGTGGATGTTTGGAGAGCACAATATCCAAACCAGTGCTTAAAATGGTATGATTGAAGCAGACACATCCTACTCAAGGTTCATTTAACATTGAGAGTCACAACCTGGTAACTGAAGGCTGTGGTCATTGCATGCGTGAAGGGGATTGCCATTGTTTTAAAGCAATTCCCAGTGTGTTCCATCTTCCTTGGAATCCCCTCGAGAGCTTGTTAAAAATCAGATTGCTGGAACCCAGCTTCTGACACTGTGAGTTTCTTAGTCAGGAGTAGGAACAGAAACTTGTTTTTAGAAACTCCCTAGCTGATCTTTAAGCTCACTAAAATGAGAAAAAGACTGGAATAAGGCTTTAGAATTGAAGATCTCTTTTTTACTGTTCCGTAATAGAGACTTTGCTTTTGGGTTTCAGAGCCTGTTAAAGAATTTATCACTTTTGAAAGTCCTTTTAAAATCTAAATTTTCAAGAGAATGATAGAAGTGTAACAGTAAAATTTACTTTTGGTTTTCATATCATTGTACTCCCTTGCGCTGTAGCCTTGTACATGCAAAGGGTGGAAAGGCCTGGAAGTGAGATTAGACTAAGTGATGCTTAAGACCCACTCTAATTCAGGGGTCTGTGAAAAGTTTTGACAGAAAAATCTGGCCCACATGTTTTGCTACCAAGAAGGTAGGTGGTGGGCTGGAGAAGTAAGTTTTATGTGACTGTTGGTTCCTTACTGAATTTAAAACAAAATGTTCGTGTTTCATTTGAATCACTTAGAAAGAGCAGACTGTACGCAGTTGTGTTCATTTCATGGTTGTTCAAAGCCCCTCCTCTTTTGTAGAAAGCCCAGGCCCAGCTCAAGCTCCCCATTGTCCCATCCCTCCAGAGGCTGCTGATTTACCGTTGGGCCCACCAGGCTCTCGTTACGCCTTCTGATCACCCTCTTCTGCCGCTCATTTGGCAGAAGTTCTTCCTCCTGTATCTTCACCGCCCTGGACCGCAATATGGGTATGGCGCCCAGTGTTGTTCTGAGTGTCTGTGAGTCTGTTCCTGTCTTTGCCCTGCTCTAATGCCCTTTGTTCTCACACTGTGGCTTGGGAGTAGAATCATTCTTTGACCTTTGGCTAGGAGTCCCCCTTTCTCCCTGTTTCACATTTATTAGCCTAGACCTGTTTTGAGTTCAGGGTATCTTGTGGCATCTCTGTCTTTTCCATTCTCTCTACCCAACATGGTGAAAATAATACCCTGGAACCAGGCCAGGTGTAGCATGGAGCCCCTGGAGATGCAAAGGGAGTGAAACTGCCCCAAACAGGCTGCTTGTGTGACCGTCTTAGGGCTGTATATGGGAACTTGTGATGGGTAATGCATGGGAGTGTGAGGGTGTCCTGGGGGTGTCTGACATTTCCACTGGGTATGAAGGGATTCTGAACAGTCCACTGTCTGGAACTGTCCGCTGTTACTGATCGTGGTCTCTGGCTCCAACTCAGTTATTAGCTCACCCTCAGTCCCTTAACTCACTCCTTTGAAACATACAGATGTTGGCTCTTTGTTACTTCAGTTTTTTTCCAGATTGCAAGTTCTTTAGGAGCAGAGCTATCTTTCATCTATTCTGTACCTCAAGTGGTGATAGTATCTTTATTTGCATAGCATTTCATTCTGTTTAAAACTGATTTTGTATACACCTGGCTTGTTGGGTCTTCATAACAATCACTGAGGTAGAGATAATAGATATTTTAATGCAGTATATTCGCATCCATTGACTTGTCAATTGACTGTAATTTTGTGTCAGATAAAAAGAGCATCTTGTGTTGATCTTGTGATCTGTGCTTATGTTTTTTAAGGTTACCCATAGACGGTTGTATTGGAAGAAGATTTTTTCAAAGCCCTGCTCACATCAGTTTGTTGAAAGAAATGAAGAGGCGCCTGACTGAAGTGGCCGACTTCCACCATGCTGCGAGCAAGGCTCTGCGCGTTCCAGCAGAGGGCAGCGAAGGGCTGCCAGCCAGCCAGGCCAGCACCCCTGGTTACTTGACTTCCCCAGAACTGCACACGGAGCTCGTGAGGTGAGGCATGGTTGTTCAGTCATTTATGTTGCTTGCAGCACAGGTGCTCGTGTGGAGCAGTTATTTGTGTAACGAACTGCCAGATGCTATTCTCTCAACCTTGTTAGATTGAATTGGAAGGCAGTTTTGACTATAGGTTTGCATCTTGCAATGTTCCTTTTTATGTTCCTCCTGAGAGTTGACTCAGCAAATTGGTGGCTCTGCCAAGTGCCTGAATTGATTGGAAGATCTTAAAGCTGATGTCCTCTTCTGTTTCTTTATGTGATAACAGAAACAAACCAAAACAGTTGATCATAGCAGGTAAACAACTAGTTAAGCCTCCTAGAATACTTCTCTAAAGGAAATAAGCGACCCAGGCAGGGTTATTTAAGTGGTGTTCCTAGACCCTTGAAGGGATTCCAGAATCCACCTGGAGTCAGGAGGGATCTAGTCATCTCCCCAAACTGCTTCTAAAAATCAGGCATAATATTTTCAACTCTCTGAAGGTAAATAAAGACCTCTGAAGCTAGTTTGGGTCCCTTTTGCACTGTTCCTTCACCTTTCATTTCTAAGCTTGCTATAAACCAGATATTAGTCTTCTAAATAAGACTTAATAAAAATGGCTTTTAATAATCAACCCCGAATACAAAAATTGTCTTGGTGAGAAAACTCAGCGTTCTGATCCAGCACTGAGGCTTCAGACTTGCATAATATCAGAGCCCCTAGGGCTATGTCAACCTCTAGAATGATTTCTCCCCTTACTGTGCTTGCTTGAAGGTAGACTTATTTTTAGGCAGGCTTAACCAGTGGGAAGGCTTTATCTTTGAACAGTTAGATCAGCTAAGAAAGTCTTTGATGTTCCCTTCTGCCTTTCTTAAATCCCTCTTTCTTTGGTGTGTTGGTAAATGGCCAGTAACTGAATCAGAAGCTGGATGAGAGCTCTGTACCAGCCTTCCCTTTCAGAGCCCTGAAGCCCTGTGCATGTCCTCTTCCTACACAGATGGCCATGGAGGTAGAGGAGGTAATTTTCCACTTCACTGAGCAAAGCCCAGCCCCGCCACCTCCTGGTCCCCACCCAGTAATTTGTCTGCCGTAGACTCTGGTACCTGTTGCTGCAAAACAACTGCTGAAAATACCAGTGGTCTTAGCTAAATGGGCTGTGTGCCTTGTAAAAACAAACAAAATAAAAACAAAGGAAACATCATGAAATTTTAAAAAAAGTTTTTACTGGATAATGGAGATTTTTCTCTTTTCTCTTTTAGCCTGGCTTTGTTCTGTTCCTTATGAATGGAAACAGGGTGCACACGTGCTGTGAGGTGTGTTTGTGATTCCTTGGGGCAGGAGATCGACATTGAGCCTAAAGCTGGCATGTTCTTCCATGCATAAGTTTAAAATTAGGCTTTTAATGTTTTTTCTGAAAGACAGAAAATGTGTTCATTTGAATGTTATTTAAACCTTCCCTAGCTCTAAGGCTCACCATGACTGAATTGCCCAGGAAAGAAAAGCTCCAAATTTAGATCCTAGGTCTGCATTATAATGACCTTTTCAGTTTTTTTCTGTACCTGTATCTAACCTTACTTTGATAGTAGAGTTCACAAGGCCCTTTCTTCACAGCTTATGTTTTAGCAATTATTTCATCAAATTGTAATGATTTGTGACCTGTCTTTCTCCACTGCTGCTGGCCCTTGAGCCTCTTGTGTGTGTGGTGGTAGTTGGAAAAATTTCCTGTATTATGTACTTTCTTTATGTTATGTAGTAGTGCTGGTGTCCCTAGTGATGTAAGAAACTTCATTTGCCTGCACATTTTTTTATATTTTATGTAATTATGTTTTTTTTTAGGCTTTTCAATGTATACATATTATGGCTAGAAGATGAGAATTTTCAAAAAGGAGATACCTATATCCCTTCTCTACCAAAGCATTATGATGTTCACAGGCTAGCCAAAGTGATGCAGAATCAGCAGGTAAAACTATGATAGTGTCTTTCTTAGCATATCTAACTGATTTGAATTGGTCACCTTTTCATAATCTAATGGTAAAACCACTCTTTGATGTGGAAATGGGGTCACTTCAATGGTCATTGTTTTTGTGGTTTTGTCAGTGTGTAAGTGACTTGTATTGAAGGGTTATTCTTTTGAATCTGGCCCCACTATGGCCTCATCTGAAGGCTTGAAACTTGTTCTAGGGCTTTGTACAACCTTATAATCATACTGTTCCTCTTTCTTTTTGTACTCTTTGTTTTAAATTGTCAGAAGCTGAACACTTTTAAGCATCGTCTACTCCCATAAAAAGTACAGTGTAAGACTTTGTTAGGATCCACATATTGTTAATTGCATGGAGGAGATAAAAGAGTCCACCTTTTTGGTTTTGGAGATAACTGACTTTTGGTTGCCCTTCTGGAAACACTCAATTCTAGTCAACATATTCTAAGCTGTGCTCTTCCTTTTACCCAAAGATATCTGTGGTCCTTTTTTAACCCAAAATTTCTAAGTTTTCACTAAGCTTCTATAGTATGTATGTGTATGTGTAGACATATCTCTCCTATACCAAATTTGTTTCTCAGGACTGAACTCTACTGGGCATTGACCCCCAACACTGGGATGGGATTTGGGATTTAGGAACCTCTATGACTTGAGAGTCTTCAATTTGGGTTTTTAAACCTGCCTGTGTCAACATTACTTAGAGTATTTCATCTCTAGTAGGTCTCTTTGACTTTCTTGGTGTTTTTCTGTCTTACCTTCCTTCCTTCTCTTCCTTCCATGAGTATTTATTGAGTGCTTCTTAGCTGTTAGGTGTGTAATGCCAAAGATACAAAAAGAAACCTGATACAGCCCTTGCCTTCAGGGAGCTTATTGTGCTTACTGTCCTAGAGGGAACTAACAGTGATGACAGCTGGGAATAAAGACTGGGAATGTAAGGGAAGAGCCCCTGATTCAGACTGAGCTGAGCTACAAAGGACAAGTGGAGTTGGTCAGGTTGGAAGGGAAGACATGGTGATGGGGAGGGGCAGAAAACGTATTACTGGCAGGAAGACTAATGTGTGCAAAGACATGGCTGAGAGCATGGCATGTTCAAAAGGTGCAGGTTTGGGTAGAGCCACTGAGGAGAGCAGATGTTAACCAGAGAGGGGAAGAGGGATTGCATCTCTAAGGACCATGTGCGCTTTTCTCAAGATGGCAGATTCTGTTCTGAAGTCTTTATTTGGTGAGCTATTGAAATAACATGAGGAATTAAATAAATGGATGACCTAAAAAATATATCCAGGAAGAATCACTAGGATTTTTAGATTAGATACATAGTAGGATTGATTAGATACACAAGGACTCCCAAATTTTTAGCTTGGGTAATTAGAGATACTGCTTACAGAGATAGAGAATACTGAGAGAGGAAGTGCCTGAGGGCCTCCAGGGAGAGCTCTCTGTCAAGGATTTGGTGGGGAGGGGATATACTGCCTAGAATGTAGGAATGGGGCAGCATAGGAAATGTGGGTTTAATGGTAATAGAGTATTTAGATTATGTAGAGGACTGAAGATGGAACCTTGAGAAATAACATTTAAAGCAAGAAAAAATAAGGCTGAGACTACAGGGCCAGAGGAATAGGAAAAGTAAATGAGGATCATAGTATCTTGAGATCCTTTAAGGGCAATTTCATATTCTCCCCTGTATAGTCACACCCCAAGGCCTTATCTAAGAATTTGCATGTAATAGATACTCATCAGTGGTTTTAAAAATTAATCATATCCTCTTCATTATCTGATATTTATCTTGGTTTCCTAGCATATGTGTAATTAATAGCCTTTTTTTAAAAGTCTTTGCCATTTGATCTTATAACTCCTATTTTTGAACTGTAATTCTGGTTCAGAGTTGTTCTTTTTGTGGTTTTTCAAGCACCTCTGCTTACCCATCATTAATTCTCAGTATTCTCTTGAATCATTGGCTTCTATCAACAGTTACTTAGCACAGAGGCAGAAAAGGTGACATTAGTGGCCTCACTAAAGGAGACATACATACAAGGAGGGTCTGGTACATCACCTCTGACAGTTTGGTGCTTCTGGATTCAGGCTTGTGATCAGGATGACTTTGGAGTTCCTCTAGTCTGGAATCCCTTGTGCTATGGTTGGTTGGGAAATAATGATTTAGGACTTGGAGTGCGCAGTGTGCTCATTAAGAAGCCAGAGACATCTTTAGCTTTAGAGAAATCTTTCTGAACACTTAAAACCATAAACAAAGAATGCCATGATCCACAAAACTATAGTTCATATCCAGTAACCTGTTATTTGTTGTAGCTTTTGATGTTCGTGGACAGCTGACTTCTTTTTTTTCATTAAAGGCAGTCCACCATTCTAATACGGTGATCAGCAAAGTGAAGTACAGGTAGTTCGGAATATGCAGGACAGCTCACTGGAGTGTGGGGAGAATACTAGGACTTCTATTTGTTTTTTCCCATTTTATCTATTTACTTATTTATCATACATTTTGTAATGAACACATTCAATCATACAGAAAAATAGAATATTATAATGGACACGTCCTTCTCCCCCTGCCCCTTTCTTGAGTATTGTGTATCTAATTTTATCCACAGCTCCTCTGTTGCCTCCACCATATTATCTTGGAGCCAATCATTTGATAAAGATTTTACAAGGTGAAGATGAGAAAAGTAACATAGCCTAATAACATTTACTTCTGAAAAATATTAACAGTAACTTCTTAATATCAAATATCTAGGCAGTGTTCAAATTTCAAGTCTCATAAATACCATAAAAGTTTTGTTTTTATTTATTTCTACAGTTTCTTTGAATCAGGATCCTCATTTTGTGATTGGCTCTTATAAGTCTTTTTAATCTGTAGTTCCTTCCCTTGTCCCTTTTTTTCCTTGCAGTTTATTTGTTGAAGAAACTGGGTAGTTTGTCCATAAATTTTGCCCCACCTACTGGATTTTGCTGACTGTGTCTTTGTGGTACAGTTTAATATGTTTTCCTGTCCCCTATATTGGGACCTAGGGGTTGATCTAATCCAGATTCAATTATTTTTAATGTATTTATTTTTTATCTCTTTAACTGTTTTTTACCTACTTTAGCTCAGTAGTGTATATATATATAATTTATAAATAAACATTTAGTGGGGATGTTAAAATTATATTTTCTGATCATGGTACACAGTTAGACTCCTGCTAAGATTGTTTGAGTATCCATTTAAAATGTGGTTCATCCGTATGCTGGAGAACTTGGATTGGATCTCATATTGATTCTTACTGGTTCACTTGATAGTTAAATATGTAGTTTTATATCTGATTTTGTGATTCATCTGTGAAAGTTAAAGCCCTATGGTTCCTTTCTAGGATCTGTGGATGGAGTATTTGAACATGGAGCGCATTCATTATGAGTTCCAGGAAACTGTTGGTCTGTGGATGCAGGCCAAGCTTGAGTCCCATTCTGCAACCTGCAGTTTGTCAGTGCAGCTGGACTTCACTGATCCTTTGCTGGGTGAGTCATAGGAGCACCAGCCCCTTTGACTGAATTAATGAGTGAATCAGTGAGTGTTAGAATCTGAGCCACTGAGGGTTAAGGTTTATACAGGGTACCTCCAGTGAGAATGAATTTTTTTAGAAATTCATTGTTAACTTGTCTACCACTTAGGGGCTAGGCTATTAGTGAATGAACTCCAGAACAGTAATGGCTTAAATAAGGTAGAGATTTGTTTTTTCTCATATTGGAGAAGCCTGGAGGCAGGCAGTTCAGAGCGGTAGCTTCCTGACCTGTAAACCTTCAAGGACCCCTGCTCCTCCTACCTTGCAGTCCTTTCATTCTAACACGTCCCAATTATGGTCCAAGAGGGCTGGTTAAGTTTAAGTGGTCACATTCACAGTCCATTCAGAGGATGGGGTGTCTCCCTCTTTTAGGGACTCTTTCAAGAAGCTGCTCACAGACTTTCCAGTTCCATTTCTTTGGCCCAAACCAAGAATCATGGCTTTACCTAGCTGTAAAGTGACTAAGTTCTGTCTGTCATTCGTTTTCTCTTTCTCTATGATGCTTTGAAAAGACGTTTCAGCTGACTTATGATATTTAAGTGCAATTTTAAATTAAACTGTTTTGGATTTGCCATTTTAAAATTCAAAAGTCTGTCATTTCCTTTCATAATCTATTTTTCTCTGTATCTGAAACTCTTACCATATAAACAGATCATATTCCCAAAGTTTCTAAGTTGATTATTTCTCAGAATGCATTTTTCTAGAGAAACAATTTTATAAAAGATTCAGTTAGTTTTCTATGCCAGGCCACAAAAGCTCATTTAACCTGGAAGGTTGATGACATGCTGTACAACAAAAAATAATAGAAAACAACATTTGAAGTTACTGATTAATTTTAATTACTTAATATATTTTTAAAATGTAAGACAATAAAACTTTAAATATATTGTTGAAGAAAATGTTAATATGTAGTATAATAAAGCATTAAAATGGTTCAGAAAAAGGGAAAAATACCTTCTTATTCTAACTCTGCCACTAACCAACTAGCTAGCTCATGATTAGAGAAAAATAAGAACTTCTCTTGGCTTTAGTCCACTCATCTGTAAAATGAAGGTGCTGGACAGTCACATTAAAGGCTGTAAAACTTTTGCCTCCAACACCTTTTTCCCTTTTTTTCCCTGAAATACTACTTTGTTTTTCCAATTGTAAGAGTTAACATGTGCATATTGAAAAAAAATTAAACATATAGAAAGGTATATAGGGAAAGGTATAAGACCTTACCCCAACCACATCCATTTTCATTTTCTCTTTCTGGAAGTTCACTATTGAATGCTTCTCTGTTCATGTCCTCCCATCTGTGGTGTTTTCATATCACCTTAACATAAGGCTGGTTGCTTTCTCTGGAGTTAAGCCAGTAATTTATTAAGCCCTTAGTTTGTTCCAGGCAGTGTCCCAGTACTTGATACTACATTAACTCAGTCCTCCCAGCTTCCCTTATGAGGCTTCTCCCCATTCAGCGGATAAAGAACCTGAGGTGTAAGGTGGTTAGATAACTTGCCCAAATCACAAACTCATAATTGTTAAAGCTGTCTGGCTCCAGAGACCCTGTTCTTCACCGCTTATCATCCTATATCTGATGTTCTGGAAATCTGTACATGTTGCAGTTCTAAATAAAATTAAGGCCTTGATTTTAAAATAACAAGTTTCAGGTTTCTTCAGATATAGCAGGTTAGATGATGATTATATCAGATGTTTGAATGTGTGGTTGTGATGGCAGGAAAATTGCAGGAGTGCTTCATAGATTGATGCACATTTGTGACACAGACCTCTTTTTCTTGAATTAACTTTGTTTGTTGGCTTTATAATTTTTGTCAATTGTGGTCCAGAATGGTGATTACAGTTAAATAGGCCCTGAATTTAATTTTTAGGGTCTTTCATTTGGTATTTAGAATATTATCCTTAATTTTTTTCTTTCATGATATGTTATATTGGGTTTGAAAAGAGCCCCCAGTTTTCCTTAAGAGTCATGGCCTAAAATATTGCTTGAAAGAATATAGTTAGGAGTCCTATCCAACTTTGTTTCATGCTGTGCAAAAAGTGGTAGTTCCAGTGGAAAAACCCCAGCTATAAGGGACGATCGTGTACTTGACCTGTTTGGAATGTTGAATTCCATCTGTTTGGAGTGCAAACAATACAAGTCTTCTTATGCCAAGTAAAGTCATGGCAATTAAATTTTCTTTAATTTTTCTGAGCAAGAATAAAAAATGGAATGCTGCGAATGAAATCGGAAATTCGTAGTAATCCCTTAAGTAATGGTTGACTTGACTTATTGACTTGAAGTTCCCTTGACCTCTCCCATCCATTGTTATCTTAGTATTAAAAAGAATTGGGTATGTGACAGCATTTTTCTTCATGTTCTTCAGTCTGCCCCTGCTGTGTGGTATGTGTGCAGTGCAGTGAAGAGAGAGGGAGGAAGGATAGGGACTTACTGGATACCTACTGTGTGTTTGTCTCTGTACCAGATGTGGAAATATTAACATTTAAGTTGGATTGACCCTTATGAGACCACACAACCTAGTACAAAGTTGGGTCTTACAGATTGATCTTTTATTTTTCTTATATGGCACCTGATTTCTTATTTGGACTTGCATAAATCATGTATTGAGTTTTGAATGAAAAAGTGCATGAATGAATGAATATGGCTACATAAATATAAGTTCTGCAGGAGTCTGTGCCCATGTCTTTATGCATTTAAATGTACTACTTTTAGCCCTCCTGTTCAAACCTTGGCCTAATTTAAGATTTTTCACTCAGCTGTGTTCCATAATGCCCATTCCTTTTTCTCCAATTCTTGTGAAGTTTATCTGGATCATTGCACTTAACTCTTAACTGGGCTCCCTGCTCCATTCTCCCAGCCCACTGTCTGGTGAGAGCTTACTGTCTTTCTCAACCTTGTTTAGAGAGCTGTTTGCTAGGCCCCCTTTACACTAGTATCAAGTCCAAACACCTTAGCATGTCACATGCAAAGCTCACTAGGGTAATAATTTAGGATCATGAGCTTCAGCTCTTGAAATACCATGAAGACTTTTTGAGGGTAGGAATTCTATTTAATGATACCACGTGCTCCTGAGCTCCCAGCTTCTGGTAGGGTAATTATTAGGCCTCTGGGTGCTCCCTCCAAACTTGTAAGTACCAGAAGACAATGATTTTATTCATTTAGGCCTTTGGTGGTTTAAGTAACTATTCTGCAGATCTCTAGCATTCTTTATGAAGATAACAAGCCAGGGCTTTGTACCCTCTTAGTACATTACTACCCAGGAGTAGCCACTATGCGGTAAATATGACTTAATTTTCTTACAGCTAAAGAAAGGGTTTTAAGTAACTTGCAGAAGCATGACGCTCCCCAGCCTCCTCTTGTTCTGCACCCACTGAGGCCTCCTGTACCACTTGTTTCCTCTGCCACACTCCTCAGTCAGAAGGACACTGCGCAGCTGCTGCGCACAGACCTGCATCTGTTGCAACAGCAGGCTAGGTAAGACCACGACTACTTCAGGATCATGCTTCTATGTCTGCTGGATGATTTAGTACCTAGAAGCTTTCTCACCGTGAGGATAATTTGACCAGACTGACCCAAATGGTTACCTTAGTTAACCAAGTCATGACAAGCCTTTAAATTTCACATTGAAATTATATGGTACTTTTATGGACTATACATTTAACATGTTTCCTGTGGTGGCATTTCTGAGTTTAGCAGTGCCAGCTAAGCGTTCCACAAGCTTTTCCTAAGGAGACTTTCTGATACTGGAAAGAGGGTGGTAAAAGGGTGTGAAATGAGGTCTACTTTATTTTGTCACTGCTTCGTTCTCTAACTCTCCATATTCTTTCAAAAATTGCCATAGGTACTTGAAGTGCAGGAAAGTCATAGTGTTCCTAATTCATGGTAGATACAGCATGGCAAGTGTATAAAATTTTTATTCTAGTTTGCCCTCTTGTGAGAAGGAACAAGTGTGGAGTTAAGTCCAACGTAAGAGTCTGTCTTACTTTGCAAGACCATGGGGTTCAATCTATTACTGGCCTTTTCTTCCTTGGCTCTTTTGGTGCAGGTATTCATTGTGTGTGTGTGTGTGTGTGTGTGTGTGCACATATGTGTGTGAGCACATGCCTGCACATTAACGCAATATATACAATTAGAACAATATTGACACCGTATAAACAATCAGCTTTCTCTGTCTTTGACATTTCAGTTTGAGTTGCTAATAACTAAGAAATCACTGGTACCTACAAGCAATGCACCTGTTTAAAAAGATTAAATTAGAATAGGATTATCATTTGTCTTCTATAATTGTGTCCATTTAAAAAACATTGTTGATATAACACAGATTCTAAGTGGATCTTTGTTCCTGTCTAAAAACTCCCACTTTTCCTTCCTTTCTTAACTTAGTTGTTAAGGAAAGGAGAAGGATTTGGGTAAGTCTTGGCACACACACCTTTGGTCTTTTGTTAGTATGAACCACTTTTGTCTTGCTGTTCTTCAGTGAAGGCTAGGGGTAACTGGAAGCCTTTATCACTTATCATGAAATCTTTCCTGAGACTTTTCTTTCACCTCCTGATGATGTTTTTTAGAACTGCAGCGCTTCGGGAATCCCAGCAGGTTGCCCTGGACGGTGAGTTGTTGGACACAATGCCCAAACAGTATGTCAACAGAGAGGAACAGACCACACTCCATTTGGAGTGTAGAGGAAGTAGTGGGAAGAAATGCCAAGGAGCAGCAGTTATAACAGTTCAGGTAAGATTGTTCAAATTTCTTTGTAATTCAGAGAATTTTAATTGAGTCCCTATCATTGGGACGGACTGTAAGAACTACATAGCACATTATCCATGTCTCAAAACACTTAATAGTTTCTGGGGGAGTGAAGACATACACAGAACTAATCACACCTTTTCCCAAGTGCTGATAAGTCCTACAAGACAGAAATTCAAAGAAAAGCAGAATCATTGAGAAGATTCTTCAAGAGAGGGCTTAAACTGTTCAGTGAGTGGCAGAACCAGGCAGGCCCAGGCATTCTAGCACAGAGTGCATGCTTCTAATCACTGCACCTTACTTTACCTGCAATTGAACTCAGGGTTCCCTGAGCGGGGAAAGAAATGCTTAGAGATAGGCAGTACCTGCTGCCTGCCTACATTTACACAAAAACAGCTCCTCTTTTCTTATTAGCTTTTAGAAATTGAGGAAAATATGTTTTACTGATTCTTGATTATTTTCTAAAAATTTCTGTTCATTTTGTTTAATCCACACTTTAATAGTTCTAATATATTCTTCATCCATCTGCTTGGGAGACTTTTCTCTAAATGTCTTCTCTAAAAAAACTTTTATACTTGTGTTTTTCATTATCTTCAGAACTATTCTTGATAAAATAACACATTTGTATGTATCTAGTGTTGTGAATTTGTAAATTTGATCTGGAATGTGAGTCCTAACAACGTTTGAGATGATGCCTTTGGCCAGGTACCTTTTAAAGTTAATTTTCTTGTGCTGTATTTTTTTCCCATAAATTACTAATGCTTTAGTAATTCACGTAAGGTGGGGGTATTTAAGAAGGATCACTTGCAAAAGCAATAAAGCACGAAGAAAAGTTTGCCTACTTAGGGTGGAGTTTGAGTTGGTAGGAAAAAAACTACCTGAAAAATGTATCCAGTTACAGTAAAAAGGGGATGTCCTACTACCAATCTGTGTTTTTACAAATGCAGTATTTTTCTATGTTTTAGAATTACATACCTTTGCTAGGCTGTTAATTCTATAGAGAGATGGGAATTCTATTGAAATGCATTTTTGTAAGTGACTAGTGAGAGAACTATACAAAGAAATGTTTTTCCAATTCTGGCTAATAGCTTGCTCTTAGAAGAGTTGTAAATATTGGCTGCCCCAGCCAAAGAACAGGTCTCTTTGTCTAACCTCCTATTAACTCACAGGGTCGTGTGGTGGAAAATACCACCAGGAAGACCTGGGAGCTTTAGCTTCAAGCCTACCAGTAACTTAGCTCTTTTCCTTTTCAGAAAAAGGGATCATGGCCTTGCTTTATCTGAACCCTTGAGTTGCATTTATTTTATAAGCTTTTGCTTTGTTAATTCTGAAATTAAAAGTAATTTCTAAAATACCTTCAAAGTAATTTTGATTGGAGGAAGATTGGAAAAATGATTTACAGTGAGAAGGATTAAAATGAATATGGCTTAGATTTTGTTTATACAGGCAACACAAAAATAGTTATGCTTCCTTTTCTGAAAAGAAAAATTGGTAGATGCTAAGATTGCTTAAAGAAAGAAAAACAAGAAAGAAAGGACAGAGGAAAAAGGGAGATTTTATAGAAGCCTAAAGAATTTGAACAAATAGTTTTATTTTGTGCCCATAACTTCATTAGAAATATCCAAATTTTCTGAAACCACATTTTAATTTTCTGCTGGCTGTACTCATTTGCCCAGTGCCCTGACTTTCAATCCCATTTGGGAAGCTCCAGATGATCCAAAAGACTGCCAAAAAGTTAACCCATATGTTGATGCCTCCTGTTTTGTTTCCCTAGTCCGAAATTCTCTCTTTTGTTCTAGATCTAGGGTTCTTCTGTCTACTTAACATTCTATGACTGTCCTGTAGGTACCTCAAACTCTGCAGGTCCTGAAGTAATCTCATCTTTGCCTGTTTTTCCTGGAATTCCACTTACCTGGGCTTCCAAGAAGGAGGCTGAGGCACCAGCATCATCTCTTCCACATACCCTACCCACCCTCAAGTTTCTCATCTAGTTGCTTTCCAAGTCATATTGGTTTTGCCTCTGAAATGGCTTTAAATGTGCTCCTTTCTCTTTGTTTCCATTGCCACTGCCCCATTGTAGGCCCATATCACTTCTCCCATGAACTATTACATTAGGCTTCCTGTCCATAGACTCTCCCTCTGTTTAGTCCATTTTCCATTCTGCCACCGTGCATATTTTTAAACACAGTTTTGCTTACATTTCTGGCTAAAAACGTACATTGACTCTCCAGTATCTAAAAGGGTTAGGACTCTTAGGACCTTTTGTAATCTCTTCTTGATCTCTGGCATCATTTACCCTCCCTTCCACTTCCCAAACATTCTGTGTTTAGCCACTTAGCCTTCTTCCATTCCCCGTACCTGACATGTACATTCATACCTTCATTCATAAGCATGTGCTGTTATTCTCCCACCCATTTCTGAGCTCCTGATCATCCTTAGTTCAGGCAGCACCTCTTCTCGAGGTCTTTCTTGACCCCAGATCGACAAATTCCTTCCTCTCATGTCAGCTGGTGTATAAATGCTGTTTTTGTTACCTGACTGAACTTCTTGTGAAGTCATCTGTATGTCCTTAGTCATCTGTATGTCTGCACCATCTATCATGGCTTCTAACACATAATATGTACCTTTTAACGCCCCTTGAGTGAGTTAGTGTAAGCTCACCCCCTGCTTATTAGGTTGTGTTACAGCTTGTTTTGTATTATGTCTAGTTATCACTGTTACTAGATTCTTATTGATGTGTATGTTGTCAGTGCTTCACACAGTTAAGTACCCCAGAATAGATGTGTTTGAAGGAATGAAAACAACTGTAGATACATGTTTTTCACAAGTAAGCTCCCTAGTTTCAACCACCTTTAAGAACTTCATAGATATTTGTTTGGTTGTGCAAGTTGGAATTTTTCCTGCTAGAAATTAGCAGTCAGTCGCTCTTTGTGCTGCCTTTGGCCAATTTACTTTTCATCCAAAACCTCACCTCAAGCAACTTCACTGTTCTGCTTACCTTTTTACTCAATTACAAATGTTTTCCAGTCATTCCATCTTGGAAAGCTGTAAAAATGGCCCTACTTCAGTAAAAATCATCATGCTTTAGCACACTGTTTTAGTTTTCAGCCTTTTCAGAGTACTTCTCACACTGGCCTGGGTACTCTTATATCCCAGGTGATATGCTAGGGACTTTGCTTACATTGTCTCACTGAATCTTTATGGAAAGAGGATGGGAAACAGGTTTAGAGAGGCTCAGAGACTTGCCAACATCACGCACAAGTGGCTTAGAATTCAAGTCCATGTCTATTTAAGTGTAAGACCCATACCTTCCCATTTAGTATTTTGAAATGGCCAGGCCATTTGCTTTAGCTGTCTTAGCTTCAGTTTCTGAAGAAAGACTAACATTATATGATTCTGAGTAAGCTTATCCTCATGGTCAGATCTCATTTAAATGAATATATGTATCATTTTCTCTCTGAGTTGGTATGGTAGGATTATCTTCTTTTTCAGTGATTAGAGAATTCATGGATTGGATCAAGTTTTAAAACAACTTCATAGGCAATGATTTTATATTTTAAATATAAATTATAAAATTAAAATACATAAGGGTATTTTAAATATAATTTTTAATGGCTCATTTGTGAAGATTTCAAATTACATCATGAAAATATTTTATTCCTTAATGGAATTTATCTGTGAGGAAAACCTTGGAAATTTCCAGCCATCTGCAAATGTTTGAACTATGTATAGCTTGTTTGGGGTATATAAAAGTCAAACATATTTTATGGGAACTGAGACGTGCTTCTTCTGTGGTTGCCTCTGCTAATAAAAGCCTCTAATAATTTAGTGGTATTCCCTGAGGAAATGGGGTGATTTATACTAGGGTTCCTTTTGTTGTACTTTGGTATTGTGGGGCATGTTTGCTAGACCCAGGTCTGATTTATTATCATGTGAAATATTTATCATTCCTTGAAATAAAAGATGGAAAAGACCCACTGAGGGCCTTACATTATTGTAAAAAGTTATTGAAGGACACGCTTTACTCAATTTTACATTTCTTTGTCTACTTAAAATGACTCAAATGGAGGGGCTTCCACCAGGCCACTTTGTTCTGTTGTCTTTAACTTCTTGTGACTGTGAGCTGGCAGTTGTTCAGTTTGTCCCACCTCTGTCCTAGGAAGCTTTCAACAGTGCTGGGGACAATGAACAAAAATAAGAAGACTAGGAAATAATGATCATTTGGGGATGTTTTCTGTGAGAATGTCTAATGTCGATTTTTTTATTCTTCAGTATTAGTAGTTACTACAGTGAGGGATGGCAGTTCTGAAGCTCGCTGCATTTCTCAGTCTAGGGAACTTCTGTTCTTGCTCTTTTATCCATTGTCTTTCCATTTCCCTTCATTCTCACTCTCTTCCTTCCTCCTGAGTCTCTCTTTTCCTCTTTTCTTTTAACTGCTTTGTTTCCAAGCCAGCAAGGGCTGTGCCCCTCAAAGACCCAGACTAATTGTAGTTGGTGACATACTGAGCAAAAAAGCTGACTGAACATATTCCTCATCACATTTAAGGCCACTAAACATGGGGCTTTTATTTGAAAATTTTCAAATTTAGTATTTGGATTGATTGATTCTGAGGTTTAATGGAAGTAATTTTATTTTTTCATCTTCATTTCTCCAGTAGTTAAAATTATTGTTAATATGTTCTTGGATATTCACTTTTGTGCCTTTTGATTCATACTAACAGCTTTTTTTTTTCTTTAAAACAAGAATTTTCATAAAGATTAATACAATGTTGGTGAGTTTTATAGAAGTTATTATCATGATCATAAAAAGTAGGTGTTTGGAACACTGACAGTTGTGTAAGGCATTGTGTAAAACAAAATGAACAGGACTATTGTGCCTCAGGAGCTTTTGATCTGATCTGGGATTTATAATAGTAACCCTGACTATAAGGGCCTCAACTACTTAAGTGTGAATGAAGCACTTACATTATTTACAAAGAAAGGATACCTGTAATCATTGTTGTGGTTGGTAACTGAAGACTAGGTTTGGGCAGGTGCATATAAAAAAAATCAAAGGGAGACCCTACTGCTCACCCCTGTGATTGGGGAATCCTCTTTCAGAATAATGTAGGATTTTAAATTTCAGCCTTCTAAATGTTCTAGTCCCTTCAGCATTCTCTGCATGCCTTCAGGTTAAGTCCACATTCTTCAGCCTACTTTAAAGGCCTCTCCAGGACAGAGCTTCTGCTCCCTAGTCTGATTGCCCTTTACTCTTCAGCTCTGACCCCCTGCCTGGCTGGGTTCCCCCTGGCTGTCCCCTTGTATTCCTGTGCTCCATCTTGGCTCTCTGTGTTGTAGCCTGGGTCTAGGATATTCTCTTCATCTATAGCCAGAAAAAAATTGACATTAAAAACTTAGAAACAAAGCAGCTATCTTATAGGTCATTATCAATTAATTAGAGAAAGGGATATTAATAACCCCCTCAAATTGGAAAGATGTCATCTTAAAGGATAGTCATTTGAATTGAAATAAATCCAGGTGTTTTTTTCTTAAAGCTCAATAAATGATTGATATTTATTAATAATTGATAATTATTAATGATTATTTTTCACATCTTTATAGAGAACCAATAAAAGTTTTATCAGAGACCAGTTTTCAGAAACCACTGAGTTACTCAGTTGCTCTTTCCTAGGCAGGCGGTTGATTTGGGCACTTCTCAAATTATGTTTTATTTTGTTGCTTGTTTTATAAGTATATGTATTTTATTCCTTTCAGAATGGCAGGTGTTTTATTAATAGCATCTATGTCATCCTCTTTTCATGCTTGGCATACATAAGAGATGCAGCTCGAGTGTTTTGAGCTTATGTGTGTTATTATATGTGCTGTTGGATTTGGGGGAATTTGGAGAGGGATTAAGGCTCTGAGGAGGATAATCAACAGGTGGAGGGGCTTGATGTGCTTCTAGAAAAACATCAGTGGTGGAAGCTGAGTCTGTTTTTCATGAGAATTAGGGAGTTGAAACATAGGTGACATAGAACATGTCCTACAAAAGACTCTGAACATAACCCAAGTTGGATTATTCATGAAAAACCTGAGATCCTTAAATAGCTTTTGACATATTTTTCACATCCCTCTTAGATTCAACTGAGTTTTGAGTTATAACATTAATTGTGATAATGTTATCTTCATCTCATGCCTCATATATTTGCAAGGAAGTATCTGCTGTAGAAACATGTAGGGACAAAAAGTCTGTTGATCACTTCAATTTCTGTTAGTTTGAAGGTATGCATAAAAATGAAGCAATAACCCAACAACTTCACGTTCTGCGAAAAGAAGTGAAGCAGCTGCAAGCAGAAGCTGCTAAACCACCATCACTTAATATTGTGGAAGCTGCTGTACATGCAGAAAACTTGATTACGTAAGTTTGGAGAGCACTATAGTTTAAAGCACTATTATTATTATTGTATTGTTTTAAAGTATTGTTATTATTGGCAATAATCAGACATGCTACTATACTCCCAGACACCTGCTAATTAAGTGAGTACAGGGATCAGCAAACTGTGGCCTTTGGACCAAATCTGGCCTGCCTGCCACCTTTTTTTTTTTTCTCCCTTAGGAGAGCTAGGGAGACTTTTATTGATACAGTGAGAGGACAGACAGAGCTCCTGGCTCACACCAGGAGGGGACAAGAGAGCCCCTAGTGGTGCATTGCCTAGGGGTTTTATAGGCAGTTGAGGAGATTTGGGAACATGAAAAAAAGCTTAGGGGTGTGGACTTGTTAAGTGGTCCCTGAATATTTAGAATTAACATAAGGAATTTCCTGCCTTGATTTCTCTCTCGGATACCTGCGTCTTGGTCTGGGAGCATATCAAAAGGCCGCCTGCCCAACTCCCAAGGTGGGCTGAGGTATTGTCTGTTTGCTAAAGAGTAAGTTAAGAATCTTACTTCTTAAACTTCCTGGGTGTTAAAATACAATCTTGTCTTTAAGGTAGAATCCTTCCTGCACTCTACTATGTTGTTTACAGCTGGGTCTGCATGCTAAATTAGTTGCCCAGTTTGCAAAATCACCTCATCAGATCTGAAGGAGGAAAGACAGCACATAAGCCTGGGCCTTTAGCATGCTAAGGTGAATCTTACACATGATTAGAAATGATTAGCAAAATAAAAGCATATATTACCCTTCTTTATCTGGGGAATATTAACTGATCTCACTGAAGAATGACTCTAGAGCTTAATGTTCAACACAGAGTTTTGGTAGGAAGTTTCCTTGCATGTAGTTATATTGCTCTGATTGTAAATATCCTGCCTTGCTTTTTCTGGAGGACTTCATCCTATTCTGTCTAAGCTCATGGTCCCTGTCTCATTCCCCCCTCTACAGATAGAGACCCTAGCTGCTGCCAGGGAAAAGGGGCGATGACCACTCTGGCTGCTTCATGCTGAGAAGGGGGCGCAGTAAGGGATGCAGTTAGGTCTCCATCACTGGTCAGTTGAGAAGGCCTCGGAAGATGGGCACTTCTATTCTTGGGTTCCATTTCTATTACTATTTGCAGTTTTATGGTTTCTAGGCAAGATAGAACAAATCATGTGATTAGATTAAGTAGCAACATCTGGAGTTGGATTTCCCATTCTGGAAGGACAAACTTGACAAGATTAAGAATGTATGGCTGAATATGAGAACTAGAAATAGTAAGATTCTAATTGAGAATCATAGCCAGATATCATGGGAAAACTAGAATTCTGGATCTAGTCTACATCACAATGACTAGTATTAGGATTTAGTATATAAGGCTGCATTATTGAAACAATACTTTTCTCTAAAATCACCCTCATTTTTATTAGAAGTAACCAGATTCAGAAAATAATTAACGCTTGGCTTGATCATTTGCGTAAGTGCAGCAAGAAGAGCAATTGATCTTTTAAATGTGCTTTGCTGGAACTTTTTATAAGGAATTTCAGATTGGACTTTTAAAGGCCTCTCAAGGCCAGAAATCCAAGCCAGACTTGCCGTCAGGTTTTGCCTGCAGTACCTGTAGATTTGGGTGAATTCCTCTCTTCTTGAGGTTCCTGCCACCTATTTTTATAAAGAAGTTTATTGGAACACAGCCATGCCTATTTATTTATTTAATGTGTATGGCTTTTGTGCTACAATAGCAGAATTGAGTAATTGTGACAATTTATGGCCCTTGAAGCATGAAATATTTACTATCTGGCCCTTAATAGAATAAATTTGCTGACCTCTGAATTACAACATGATATAATGCATTGAAATTCAGTCACAGATTTAGTGCTTGGTTTTTATATCAAGGTCACTTGCCATTTACCCAGGCAGTTGTCATTGTCAACTCAGATTATTGAGCAAAGTTTGCATTGGAATTGCTCAGGAACTAGGGCTCTCAAGTGTAGTTGCCAACTTGTATCTGGCCATTGTGGAGTTCCTCTTGGAGCTCCTGGCTTACTCACGACATCCTCTTTATTCTCAAAGCCATCAGGGAGTGCCTTGAGAGAGGGGAGGGTGACTGCCTTTTGTTTTAAGGTGACTCCACATTCTAGCACCATCATCTAATCCCCTCATAGATCGGGATGGTGGTGTGCAGGGGGGCATTGAGTCCTTTCGTGGGTTGGAGTTGGGAGCCCTGGAAAGGAGGAGATGAGGTGAACAAAAGGTTCATGTTTCTTTTACTTGGAAAGGTACTCAAAAAAGTGTGGTAATTAGAAGTGACATCTTTAGTCTAGGATCTTTTTCTATATAAAAATCTTCTTCTTCAACCTATGTTAGCTTTTGGATTTATAATTCTTATTTTTAAAAATATGTATTACCTAAAGAATACACTAAGTTAAATAATAAATTGCCAATTACATACAAAATGTGAAAAATTTCAGTAAGGGTAAGAATGTTAATTAGCCTTTATAGCACAGCTGATCTTTCACCCCAGGAGGGTATGAAATCATTTCTGTGTATTGAAAATAAGTTGTTGGGTCAAGTTGGAAGATACCCCATGAAATTTTCTGAAGTGACATTTGTATGGGGCTCTGAGGACTCTTAAGCATGTTGCCTGAGAAATGTGAACTATCAAAGAAACATTTATGAGTCCAAATTCTCTTATTGTAGACCAGTAGTGTTACCTCCATTTTCCCACAGGGCCTTAGTGAATGCCTACAAGTTACAGCCTACTCCTGGGGCCCAGAAGGTCGGCATTAGCCTCTTCTTTACTGTTGTGGATTACATCAGTGATGAGACACAGCGCCATCCCCCCACAAGGCAGTTTTTTACTTCATGCATTGAGATCTTGGGACAGGTAAGGTTGTTCTCTGGTTTTAGCCTTGTTCACATAGAATAAGTCCCTACAGGGTCCTCATTAGATATAGTCAGGGTTGACTTCAGGCTTACATTGTACTTGTAGGTTCCGAGTCTTAACCTAGGTCAGAAGCCCCTTTGAATTGTTGACTCTTCAAGGTGTGATTAGATTATTGGTATAGAATTTTGCTTCTCATAGAAGAGATAACTTATTCATATTTGAAAATCTCTGGGGAGACATCAGATTCTATCATGTGCTATTGGTGTTAGCAATAATATTACTGAAGCTCTTTATCATTTATAAAAGGCTTTCCACTGCATCCTCATAGAGACTCTGTATGATTGATGTCATTCCCATCTTAAAGGTAAGAAAATTGGTCTCTGAAAGATTAAGTGACTTGCTGAAGAATACAGCAGGTGAGTGCTGGAGCTGAGACTGGACCCCAGGTCCTCTGACTCAACATTCAGTGCTTGTTCCACCTTCCCACTGCTGTTTCCCAGTTGCTATTCTTGGTTGCCATTTATTTATTTGACTTACTATTAAATATATGGCTGCTTAATAAGAGCAAGGGCAATGTATCCTTGTAGATTTATGAAATACACCATAAAAGAAAGAAAGTCACTCATTGGAAAATATATAAACACTTAACTAACCGTGTTCTGTAACCCAAATCCAACTGAATGAGGGCTTAGTCATTGGATACCTATAAAGAGGTAATACTGAGCACATAGGAAAAAGATTTTTTTAGTTTTTTTCCTGATAAAATTGATGTGTACTCATTATTAGCAATGAAGACAGTATAAAAAGTATAAAGAAGAAAAATTCCTCATAATCCTGGAGATACTGGTTGCAGAACTAATACTTCATTATAGTTTATCTTATATGTGTATACATATTAATATATGTGTGTGTATGTAAAGATGATGTATTATTCCTACATTATAGATAGATGACAGAAATACAGACATGTACTCAAAAACAGGCCATGCTATTTTGTAACCTGCTTTTTTGATTCAAACACATCTTTTAGAATTATTCCATGCTAATAAATACAGACTAATATAATGGTATTTAATGTATAGTTTTCCACAGTACAGATGTATTGTAATATATTGAGCCAGTACCCTCTGGATAGATATTTAGGTAGTTTGTTTTGCTACAGTAAGCCTGAGATGAGTATTCTTACGTCTTTGGGAACTTGTTTGACTACTTTTTCCAGGAAGATTTCCTAGAAGTAGGATTACTGTGTCAAAGGGACTAGCATTTGATGTGTATTTTCACCCTGCACTCCTGGGAAGTATGTACCTGTTTCCCCTTAACTGTAGCAGGATTGAGTTTATCATTCTCATATCATAACCAACATTAATTAGGAATGAGCATCCTTTTTAAGCCTTTATAATCTAATAGGGGAACTGGTACTTCATTATTATTTTAAGTTATATTTCTATATGTACTTATTAAGTTACATTACTTCCTATCTGCTTATTGGCTATTTAACTATTTTTTGTTATTTACTGGTTATTGCCCTTTGCACAATTTCTTTTGGAGAGTTTCTTGTTTCTTGATTGCTTTGAAAGAACTCCTCAGACTATTATAACCTGGCATCTGGAATGTGTCATGAATTAATTTTCCTACTTCATCATTTTTCTTGAATTTTATGGTCTTTTTGCCTTGTAGAAGTTAACATTTTTATATATTCAAATTCATAATTTCTGCCTGTGGTCAAGCTTATCAATGCTTTCCTAATCCTGAGATTATTTAAATATTCACTTATATTCTAGTACTTTTAAACATTAGAATCACATTAAAATAAAGTGAAGTCATCTCAATTATGTATTAATTGTGAAAATTAGCTTTTTTAAAGTATTAGAAGCACATCAATAAAATTTATAATTGAGAAGTTCTGTTTTCTTGGCATAATGGAGAGGCATTTTAGATTAGTAATTATGGTAGATACATTGCAAATTTCTGGCTTCAAATTACCCCAATATTTTAATCTTTTAAAAATTATCTGTGGATAATCCAAACCAAATTAATGGATTATCCAAATTTTTAATGTCATGTACATCAAAAAGTGACAGGTTTAATAATCTATGTTGATTTTAGATTTCTTTTGATTGTTTCACATTTTCATTTAGAAAAAAATTCCGTGTGCATTATATGCGATCCCTTAGAACTCAGTTGCTTAAATGAAAGTTAGAAAGGCAAGAATTTGGTGACATTTCTTTTTCTGTCTTTCAAGATATTTATCAGTGGCACCAAGTCAGAATGCAGAAAAGTTCTGCAGACCATTCTGAAGAATAGAAGGCTCTGCTCTCTCTTGTCTCCTTTCTTCACGCCCAATGCTGCCCCTGCAGAGTTCATACAGCTCTATGAGAAAGTGATGAAGTTTCTAAGTGAGGACAACAGTGATGTGATTTTCATGCTGTTAACCAAGGTGAGATGTGATTCAATCCTGATGTTGTCACTGAAAAGTAGAAACTTTAGTTGTTTCCCACACCGTAGAAATGAAAGGCCCTCTGGAGTGTTGTTTCCAGGTACAGCACAGGTAGCTGGGCCCTTTTGCATCATCTTCAGGCTGTGCTACCACAGCTTCCTCCTGTGGGGGCATTGGTTGTGCTGTGTAGGACAGTTTATTCCCCATGGTATACAAAGGATGTGGTTCCAAACCCTCTTTAAGGACTTAGTACAGTTTTGAAGTATTCATAATAATAATTTATTACATCCTTCTTTTGATTGTATCCTGAATTTATGCCTAAATTATTTGATAAATGAGTTGTAATATGTCATAGTCCTTCACATTTAGAATAAGCCAGATCTAAACAAATTGCCTTTGTCCATATTCTGAGAAGAATATTAACTCAGACCAAGGCAATGAATTTCCTTCACCAGTTGAGAATTTCAGAGCCTTAGCTATTTTGCCTTCAATTGTATTTCTCTGATATCAACAAGTCATAAAACCAGGGCCTGGAGACAGATCTTAGTCTCTAGTGGTGGACAATATGTTTCATAGTTTGGAAATGTGATATCAAACACCCTGAATTCTCATTAACTGAGATAGGTAACTGATGCAGACCCAGAAACATAGTTCTTAGGTGGAGACAGTTCTGTAAAGTGGCTGCTTCATTGTGGCTCTGTGACCAGCAAAGATAATTTGCAAAGTTCTGATCCTCTGAGGGATAACTTAAGATTTTTGCATTATGAAAAAACATGCAGAGTTGAGAAAACTGGCTCTGCAATCCCTGAGTGACAGAGGTGGAGGCATACTGGCACCCATCAGTCATTGAACTGCCTAGATTCTTTTAAGTACTTGTATATGAATTTCAGTTTCAATCTGTATAGCTAAATGCTAGGTAATCTTTGACTTTAAAACAAAATTTGCACATATTTTGCTCTACTTCAGTTAATTTTCTAGTGTATAAAACTGCTTCTTGTTTCTTTTCCTTTTAGTTCGATCTTAAGCAGTGGTTAAACGCCACTAAACCTCCTCTGTCTGATCGTATCAGGCTTCTGGAGTCCATTCATTTGGCACTTACTGCCTGGGGCCTTGAACCAGATGAAGATATTTTGATGCCGTTTAATCTTTTCTGTAAGCACTGGACTTACCTTCTTCTCTACCAGTTTCCTGACCAGTACAGTGACATTCTCAGGCTGCTGATGCAAAGTAAGTGCCTTTTAATTGTGACAGATTAGATCACAGTGAATATTTAATATTACCATTTTACAGATGTCACCCCAAAATATAAAGATAATGCAAGTATGCAGGGTTTGGAATCACTGATTATCACCTATGATGCTTGGTGAACAATGCCCAAAAGGTTGCTCTCTGTAAAACCGGTCAATTATTATCCTAAATTTTAGAATTGGCTCTGATTGGGCAAGGGAGCTCTTAGTATTTGGTGTTGGAGTCCACAGGTGTACAGCCACCCCTTTACCTTTTTACCTTGACTTTGCAGCTGTCCTGAGTGGGGTGAGGTGGAAGCTGGTCTGCTTGCTCTGCCAAGTACAGATTTGAAAAGGGAAGGAAATAGCTCCTTTCTAGCGATGTTTAATGTGTCAGTTGGTTTCTCTGTAGATCCAAATAGTGGATAAATTTTGAGGGGTTTCTCCCCCCTAAAGTTTTTTTTTATGGCTCTTTTCAGTTTATTATGTGACGGAGTTATGTTAGTCCAAGTTAAAAGCAGACCCCAAATGGTTACATTATACAGGCTGTGAGTTATTTTAAACTTGTGGTAAGGGGCAGAAGGGAAATTCTAACTCATTGCAAGGAAATCCTCACTTAGGCTTCGATGAGCCAAAGCACTTAAAACCAGTGAATATCCAGCTAGTCACTCAGCCAGTCCAGCCTCTACCAGGAGCTGGCATATGCACTGGTCACCCCGCAGCTGAATTACTTCTCCATATGCTGGATGCTCAATTACAGTACCATTGCAGGCAGATTTCTTCTTAAACACCTTCACTAGTTTCTTTTCACCACAATGATCAGTGATCCCTTGGACAGCATAAGGGTCTTGCTGCCATTTCTTTGTTGAATTCTTATAGGGATATGATCCTTAGTGCCTGCAGGAAGCAGATCATCACCATTACTTGCATCATCAAAGGGATCAAAAGAGAGGAGGTTCTGGATAGCAGGCCTATAGTACAATGCCCTGGAGAAAGTGGGCAGGTGGGGGCAGGGAGGGACGGAGTGTCAGGAAGTGAGGGGACTCAGTGGAGAGGCTGCTGAGTCTCGGGTGGCAGCTCAGTGACTGGGGACCCCCCTAAAGTTTTGACTCTTGTTTTTTGCAAATGGATTTTATCTGTGTGCAACAATAGATTGTATTTATATTTGCCAAGGGAAGGAGCAGTGTTAAAATTTCCACATTCCCACCATTTGTCCCCCACTGCAATTTTCCATTGGAGTGTTGGAGATTAGAGGAGGAATAAAGGATATAGGTGGAATAAAGGATATAGGCCTTTTTATTTTTGGAATTGACTAGGTGGGAATTTTATTGAAATTTGATAAATCAGATAGTATTTACTTCTTTCATATAAACTTCATACTGTTTATAGATATAATGAGAAACTAAATTTTGCTTCATGCCAAATATTGTTCTACTTTTAGAAGCTGTGATGAGTAAGGTAAAAATCTATGACCACCTGAAGAATTTTTAAATGTGTGGTCTCATTGTCAAAGCACTTCATGCTTTCATTGTTTCCTATAGAGGCAAGTTGCAGGGTGGGTGGAGAAAGTGTAGGAAAATGCATTTGTACAAATTTTGATGTAGATATGCAAAACTTATTTTGTTATACATTTTAAAAATTTGATCAAGCATATATTGTGGCTTTTTTCCCTGAAAACTTTTAAGGGATTATAAACTATTTATATAGACAGCTGTTGCCTTGCATTTAGTAGGAAATTTATGCTTCCTGGGAAAATTCAGTTAATTTTCTGTCAGATTCCATGACCTCCAGCCTCTTGGCCTCCCATCTCTCTCTGGCCACCATGTTTGAGTTCCCAGGGTTCTGTCCTTGGCTCATCTTCTCTATTCATTCTCCCTGGGTGAGCCCATCGTTTTCCCTGGCTTCACTGCTATCTTCTACGTATGCAGGACCCTCACACCTATAGCTTGATTCCAGGCCTTTCTGCCCTAAGATCCAGACCACAGTAGCCATTGGGCACAGACCCTTCACTGACCCTAGATACCTCACATTCAACATGTTTTAGCTGACCTCATTGTCCTTCCTCTCAGAGCTTCTCCTGTGAGCCTATTATCCTTTTTGGTCCAAGTGCCACCTCTGGGTGGAAAGGACCTGAGGAGGCATATTTTTCTATCCTCTGGGCTGTGAGGTTTGCAGGTAGTAGGGTCCTAGCTGGTAGTCTATCCTTGGATGCTGTATCTGCGTTGCTCTAGGCTTTGCCACATGTAGGAGTTGTGTTGTAGAGCCAAGTGTGAGGCTCCTTCTGAAGGGTTCCTGGACCCTGCAGCTACATCCTTCCCAGTCTGCCCTGTCCTGCACTGCTGATTCTCACATGATCCAGCCAGGAAAATGGTCCCTTAGGATTCCTCAGTCCAGTATGGTAGATGGGATTTTCCGTCTCACCGCCAGCAGGGTTACCAGGAACTAGGGAAGTCAAGTGTCCAGTTAGATGATTCTTGTAATACGTTCTCTTTATTTTGGTCTATTTACCCCACATCTTTATGAATTTGTTTCGGATTTTATTTAATTTTCCTTCCTTCGTAAAGTACATGTGTTCTTTGATTCAAATTGAAAAAGTTAATCTGTGAAAGACACTGACTTGTCCTCTCTCCTTGCCTGCTAAGGCTCTGCGGAGCAGCTGCTGAGTCCTGAGTGTTGGAAAGCCACTCTGAGAGCTCTGGGCTGCGGCGCCCCAAACTGCCAGCAGGGGGCAGCAGCTGCAGAGAGCACAGTGCTTCAAAGCTCTCCTGATGTACTCTTGTCAGACAAGCAGGTGTGTAGCTTTTGGTGTCTGAAATTTATGGCTGTGCATTTCTTTTTTTATTTCCTAAGCTATTTATTTTTTAAACAATTGTAACACATTCAAAATTTATATCTAAAATGCTGCTTTTTTGTGCATCATCTTTAAGAGCCCCATGTTTTCGTCAGGCACTTGCTTCCCCACCCCGTGCCCTCTTTGCCTGGATAGCCTTTCTGTCACACCTTGGAGTCTGATTTTTGCTCATCTCTTCAAGAGCAGCCCCGGCCCTCCCCTCATAGATATCTTCCCTTCCCAGTTTAGCCCACATGGTTCCTAACCTTATACCACTGACTCACTCCTTCAGTCAGGTTTCCATGCAGTGTCCACAGAGCTCTTGGTTTCATCAGTGGTAATGTGGGGATATACATATGAGACTGTATAGGAAAGAATAGTTCTTCTGCTTTAGATAGAGTTTGAAATCTGCTGATTTACTTTCCATATGTTACATACCTTTGCAACTTTATTACAAAGTCAAAGCCTCTTACCACAATCTCCTGAAGTACTTCACTGAAAGCAGACATGTAATAAGTACCTTTTGGCCGGTCCTTCTCTTCCAGGTAATGGAGACTATACAGTGGCTCTCAAACTTTTTTTATAAGCTTCGGTTATCCACGTTAGACTTTAAAAGCTTTGGCTTGTTCTCAAAATGGAGTCCTTATGTGGCTGATATGAAGATGTTCTTGGGCTATCTTGTAAAAAGGCTGCTTGACTCAGAAATGGCCTGCTTGGCCCAAGACCCATCTGCCAGCAGCAAAACAGGTAATATGCCTTTAGTGCAGCTGGGAGCTGGGTCTCCTGACCTTCCACTGGAGAGACTTGAATAGACATTTAGAGATTTAAATCTTTGTGGTGAAACTACATATCTAAGCATCAAGAAGAAATAGGATATATATGGTATAGGTACGATCCCTCGTATGTATTATACCTGTATTCACTCACACAGTGAGTACTTGCTGCATCTTGTCTCTGCCCCTCCTGCACAGGGCAGAGTACAAAGAGGTAGGTTTCTGTCTCCAGCTCTTCCTTCCTATTAATTATCTCACTGAGGAAAGGTTTCTGAATATTTAATCATTTTTCTTGAAAAAAGGTACTGTATAAAATTATCCATGACATTGTGTTGTAATAAAAATTCTTCAAGAAATTCCATTGCAATAAAGAAAACACAAATATAGTTACTCTAAACATGTTGTTTGTATATCAATATAGGTTTATGAGTATATAGAAAATAAGTAGATTTTTCTACTTGGTGTTATCAATATATTAAAAAAGGATGAAGTTATTTCTTGTCTTTAAAAATTTTGCTTTGTTTTAGTACTGAGATCCCTACATTCAATAATCATCCAGCTCTTTAAGCCATGGATCCTAGTTTTAGAGGACAGTGACAGGTAAGTAGTTTTTTAGATATTTGGTTCCTTTGAAATTTATAGACTTAAATCTAATGATGTTTTGGTATAAGTGATGTATTCACAGTTTTAATTTTTAATGTAGGGCCATATTTAAATTTAGGAAATGCTTCTTTACAAAACAAACAAGACATTTTGTCTGTGAAATTGTCTGGTAACTAATATTTTGATAATTAGTTTTGAGGCAAAACTGGATACTCATTTCCAGTTTTCCACAATGAAGAAGTTGAATGAGTTTTGGTACTTTTAACTTTAGAAAAACGATGTTGCTCTCCTGAATTAGGTTTTGATAATATAACATAGCAAGATATGAGACTAACTTGATTTTTTCCAGTATCTCAGTTATTTTTTGGAATTAAGTTGGCTTTCAAATTACTGGGTGAGCTTCAACCCTTTTAACATGAATTCTGCAATTAAATGAAAGCATTATTTCACAAGCATTTAAAACAGAGGTAGAGAGCTGTCCAAATGCAGTGAGTTGCCTCCTGTGACTTTTACTCCCCTAAAAAGTTTGCACACAAAAGCTAGGTAAACTTGTCAGGTGTTTTGTAAAAATTACAAGAGTGGTAGATATTATAGTACTTAAGGTATTTTCACAAATACTAATTAATCTGATTCTAAGACTCAGAAAACTAAATGTCTTGCTTGAGTCCCACAGCCAGTGAACAGAACGGGGACCATAGCTCAGGGCCTTTGAGGCCCATGTTTGCAATAACCCACGCTTCTTCAGGAGCCTGTCGAGGAAAATAGAAACTCTGGATTCTTTGCTTTTGCTAGCAGGCTGTCCTTAAACAGTCTGCAAGCTTCAGGAGTTTGTGGTGACTGTGAGGCTCCTGTTTATCTCCAGGAAGAATTAATGCAATCTGTTTTTACCAAGAGTTTGTTCTTTGGTTATTTACTGTCTGTTCATTTTTGGCCATTTTTTTGTTAGGTGATTTTTTTCCCCTCATGCTTTCTGGTAGTGAAAACTGATGAAGTACTTTATGGTGTATTTCTAAGGCACTTGAAATAGAACCAGGATACACAAGAGGTGGGCTCAAGGGTATAGATTGAATGTAAAAAAAAAAAATGCTAATTTGATAGTTATTTAGAGCACACTTCTGAAACTTAATTGTGTTGGAGTAAAGGTGAGGAAGGAAAGCAAATAAAATTATATGGTTGATATTACAAACTACAGTTCACCTCCAAGAATGCACAGCCTTGAAAGTGGTCTAAATCTATCTTAGGATTGCATAATACAGTTTTCTAGGATTTAGACAAGCCCTAGACTCTGGGACCTAGAATAAATTCACCCTGGGACTTTCATTTCTAAGTGTGTGTTTCTTTTATTTAAAGCAGCCAACGATACTACCCCTGGCTGGAGAGTGATGCTGTGGTGGCCGCAAGCTTTGTGCAGTTGTTCACTGACTGTGTTGATTCATTACATGAGAGGTTTAAAGGTACGAAGATGTTCTATTACGTCTCTGGTTAGTTTTCACTTTTCTGTAAGTCATTCATCTAATCTTGTGCCTTGGCTTTCCTCCTTTATTTAATTTAATTTTGGTTGGTAGGCAGTCATCTTTGACCAAAGAAAGGTCACAGATGTGATTATTTAGTGTAAAGCTTGTAATTTCCTATCTTGTCTGTGAGAAAGCTCTGACTTCATCGGTCATGGACAGCATGCAGCGCTCCTCTTCACCTGCTGCCTATCCACGATGGGGAGCCTCATTGCTTCCTTGACCACTCTTTTTTGTGTTTTCTATCTTTTTCTGCTGCACTCTGGGCAAAGTCTTGAGATCTCGCTTCCAGTTTACTCAGTCTCTCCAGCTATGTCTAATATGCTTAAAAAATGGCCACTGAAGTTTGCATTTTAACTTCTAAAAGTTACGTTTGTTTTTCAGTTTTACCCTGATCCCTTTTTGATAGCATCTTCTTTCTTTTGTTGAAAATTCCAGTTTTTATTCTTGAAAATGATTAAACATGCTTACTTTGCCTGATGAGGTGAACTTGTTGGCAATAATCCCCTTATCTGACCTTCCTGCTGGGGAGGGAGGTGGCTCTTGCTGCTCTGTGATGTTCCTTCAGACTTATTCCTAGAGGTGTGCTGCCTTGTGTGTTCTGTCATTCGGTATTACGAGTCCGTCTTCAGAGAGTCTTTATGGACGAGGGCAAGGGGGTGTTTCTCCAGAAAAGATCTGCATTTGTTGCCAATTGGAGCTATGCAGTTCTTTGGCTTCAGGTTTCTCACCCTACACAGTTGCAGGAAATCAAACCCCAAACCCACTTGCAGGCATGCCTTAATTACCACAGTCAACTTTTGCCCCTGTCTGATGCCCAGCCCAAGTTAAGGCAGAGACGGTCTCCCTTTCCTCACATCTGCCCCTTCAATGAGGGTATGTATAGTCCTTAAATGATTTTGTCTTCTGTCTCTTTGTGCTGTTAAAGCCCCAGGTAAGCAAACAGTCCTATGGCACCTGAGGCTTCAACATCAGTTTAATACTGTTTCCTAGTCTCTCTTTACTTCTGGCCCCTGGTATTTTCAACATTGAATGTGCCTAGCTATGTATTTTCAGAGATGGTACATTTTCCTCAGTGTCCCTAAATTTGTTGTATTGGGACATTTATAAGAATATTAGGTCCACCCCACCCAGTTTTGCAATGGCCTATACTGTTTTTCCTATCTCCAGTTTCTATTCCTGCCTATTTATTTTCCTAAAATACTGTTTGTATCCTATTATATTTGTATCAGAAACTTTTAAGTGTAGTGTTTTAACTTAACATTCAGAAGTGTCTGGCCCACTGCACTTCCAACACTATGTGATAGTTTTCTTATGGAAACACTGCACTCCAGCCATACTGTTCCATTTGTAAAAGTCCTTGGACCTTCCCTCTGCCCCTCACTTGCTCAAACTGATTTTGCCTCCTGGGTAAAGACACGGGACCTTTATGTTCTCCTGCATATCTATTAATGTGGATACATTTCTCTACTGCCCAGAAATCTTCATAGTATGTTGTTGTAGTTTGAGTCCATGGGAAGCAGGCACTGTGATGGAGCTAGAATGCCAGAGATTTATTTGGTGCAAAGCCTGTGAAGAGGAGGGGAGAGGAGCAGGAGGAGGCACGGCATGCCTCAGACTCCAGTGCAGGTCTGACACCTGAAAAAGGAGAGGGGGAAGGAAGAGCTCAGCCTGCAGCTCTGAGGAAGTAGTGGCCTGCCCAGTAGGGAGTTCCAGTGCAGAGATTCCTCATCAGGAAGCCCCACGTTGGGTGGAAGTGGCTAGGTCTGTGCTCAGTTGTTGGCTGAGGTCTACCTGGGAAGAGTGTGGTGGATCCTCAGGGTGCTGTGGCCTGAGTGGTAAGTTCTGTTTGAAGAGAGGTCTGAGTGGGATGCCTTGGTGGCTGGCATGTTTTTATGTGGCACCTAGTCATAGAGTTATCAATATGTCATCTGGGATTTCTTATATAAAATATTAATAATAGACTATTTTTTTTAGAGCGGTTGTAGGTTCATAGAAAAATTGATCAGAAAACACAGAGATTTCCTATATATCCTTTGCCCTCCTTCCTCCCACTCACCATATTCATAGCCTCCCCCACCCTTAACATCCCCCACCACAGTAGAACATTTGTTATAGTTAGTGAACCTACATTGATACAACATAGTCTCCCAAAGTTCATAGTTTACATTAGGTTTCTGCTCTTGGTGTTATACATTCTGTGGGTTTGGACAAATGCATAATCATATGTATCCATTATAGTAGCATACAGAATAGTTTCCCTGCCCTAAAAGGCCTCTGCCTGTTTATTTATCCCTCCTCACTAATCCTTGGCAGCCATTGATTTTTTTACTGTCCCCTTAGTTTTAGCTTTTCCAGAAAGACATACAGTTGGAATCATACAGTATGTAAACTTTTCAGATTGGCTTCTTTCATTTAGTGATGTGCACTTAAGGTTCTTCCATGCCTTTTCATGGCTTGATAGTTCATTTCTTTCTAACGTTAAATAATATTCCATTGTTTGGATGTACCTCATCCAGTATCTTTTTTTTCTCCCCCTCATCCAGCATCTTTGATTGACTTTTTACATGTCTGCCTTTGTGTGTGTGTGTGTGTTGCGCGTACCCAACTATAATGTGAATTCTAGGCACAGAAACATTCTTCTTTTTATCCCTCACAAGACTTAGGTGATGCCATATTCTTAGTTTGCTGAGTATTGGCTCAGTGAGCAACACATGAAATCTTAATAATACTCTTTTTTTTTTTTGGAAAGGCAGACTTCTAGCTGCTTTTTCCCACCCAGAATATGTTTATTAGTGGTAAGAATACTTGAGCATCAAATTATTGTCCCAAAGGCGCTGTGTTTGCTTTCTTAGTTTAAGGGCAGGCACTCTCACAGGCTCCTTCCTGTGATTCTCAAGTTTGAAATTGCTTAGGAACAGGAGGGTGCACGGATGCCATTGAGGATTGGTAACTGAGCTGAGAGAGGAGGTAGAAGGACTGTGCAAAGCAGGAGGAAGGGCTCCATGGTGGCCTTTTAGTGAGCTCATCTGATCCAGCTCACCGAAAGATGAGAAAATGAGGATTTGAAATGCAAAATGAATTTATCTGAGGTCACAGAACTTATTTGTGTCTGGGCTGGGACTAGAAGCTCAGTCTTGTCCTAAGAGATGACTTCCTAGACATCTCTTACCTATGTATCCATCCTTATTTAAACAAAACAATTTTTTAATCCATATTTAAATGCTACCCTTCACCCCTATGTTAAAAGGTTGTTAAAACGTGTTAATGTTTCATGTTGTAGAACAAAGTATGGACTGGGAATCGAGAGCACAGGAATGTTAGAAGTGATAAGTGAACTGGTTCCCTGTGTTGGTGCTCACGGTCATTTTTCAAAAGTCAGTGTTGAAAGACACCATCAGGTTTCTGTTCTTATTGTGAGTGGTTCTCTCTTCTTTGACTGAATTCCATTCCTTTGCATAGAACCACACATTCTGAAAGAATCTGTTTTAGACTAAATATCCCTCTCTCATCATTAGCTCTTGAGGACACTAAGGTAATTGATACTTTTGAGGACAGCACTGAATGATCCAAGTCACAGAAGAGCATGAGATTCATTTTAGGATGACTTTCTTGAATGACAGTTAATAGTCTAGTTTTCACCAGGGATGAAGCGATAGTCATTTGGAACTTTTCTTTTGAGAAATACTGGATTCCTCCAAGGTGCCAAATGGATAAAGTGCTAAACAGGAGACTGAACACATGCTGAAGGCAACAGACTGAAGGGATACCTCGAATTGGTTGGGTTATGCACGTGTATTTGAGTTAAAAAGTTATATATTTTAAAGTTTTGAAGATAAATCGATCACTCCTGCTATCTTCCACATACTACTTACCCATTGCCATTACCCAAGTAAGTGACTAGAGTACCATTCTTCATTACAGTGTCATAATGATATAATTATAGCTGTGCCATCAGGTTTTTTTTCCCTGTCACATGAAAATCTTTGAAATTGGGTAAGTATTAAGAACCTTAGGTTTTAAACTTTTAGTTCAAATTTGTATTTTGCATTAGTTTGTTTTTAGAAGACAAACAAATTGTCTTCAGCTGTATTTTCTTTTTCTTTTTAGATAAGCTGTTGCCAGGTGATGATGGAGCCCTTCGGTTACACCTTATGCATTACTGTGAAACGTGTACAGCCCCCAGAATGCCAGACTTCATTCTGTATGCTTTTCATAGCGCCTACCGGAAGCTCCCGTGGAGGGACCTGCACCCTGACCAGATGCTCATGGAGGCCTTCTTTAAAGTAAGCCCTTTGCTCTGCGTGGCACAGCCTGGCCTCCAGGAATGGCAAGTTCACTGTGGTCTCTAGGCACAGGTGCAGAGTGTGCCAGAACAGACCGTGCCCGCATTACGTGTCACCCAAGTTGTGTTTGTATAAAACAAGCATCCCGTGGAAACCATTTCATTGTGTTAGTAGATGAGTCAAAGACAGGACTATTTTTAAAACCCAGAGAAGGATTTTTGTCTGTAATCTGGCAGCTGTACCCTAGATTTTAGTGATTGCTGTATGAGTACGTTTTAATGACTTTGTCACACACAATCTTGGTGTTTCAGTGTATGCTTGTTTTTCTAGGATAGTATCATTAGAACTACCTATTGTTAAAAGTTCTATTAAAGCAAAAGGTAAGTTGGTATACAAGCCATTAGTTTCTTTAAGCAGTTATGTGAGGGAATAATTAGGTTGTAAGAGATAGAAGTGCACTGTAACAACCAGTGATGCATCATCATCATATAAAGATCTGAAATAACCTGGGAAAGTGCCAGTAAGTTTGTGCGTGGGTGTTTGTAGAAGAGGCAGTAGTTACAGAAAGTAGGCATAGCAGTGTCAAAACCAGTCAGGATTTTTGTTGTTCTTATTAAGTTTCTATTTTAAAAAACCCTTTATAATCTTGTCTTAGCTTTTTATGATCATTTGTTAATTTGTTCATAGTTGCCAGTTCATTTGGGTGTACACCTAACAATGTCATATTTCTTATTGGGACATCTTAAGTGCTTTCATTACTGCAGGTCCACAGTTACTTGTGACAATTAGTGAACTGTACTGTAGTCTTCTACTGCTGTAATTGGAGATCCTATCTGGAGCTGCTCTTGTAGCTGAGCCCAAAAGAAAGTGGAGGACAGTTGTCTAGGCCAAGAATGGTTTTATAGCTAGGCTTAGTGTATGAAACAGGCACTACATAGATATTCATCACCATTCTGAACATGGAAGAGAGTGTTTGTTTAAAGAGCTATAAGACAGCATTAAGTAAGTGGGCAGCTTTAGCTGTAAGACAGATTAACTAGTAGGACAGTCTGTAAAGGGATCCTGGAGACTCTTTCTCTAGGAGTTTTAGTCTAATGATTAATTGATACTTTTGAGGACAGCACTGAATGATCCAAGTCACAGAAGAGCATGAGATTCATTTTAGGATGACTTTCTTGAATGACAGTTAATAGTCTAGTTTTCACCAGGGATGAAGCGATAGTCATTTGGAACTTTTCTTTTGAGAAATACTGGATTCCTCCAAGGTGCCAAATGGATAAAGTGCTAAACAGGAGACTGAACACATGCTGAAGGCAACAGACTGAAGGGATACCTCGAATTGGTTGGGTTATGCACGTGTATTTGAGTTAAAAAGTTATATATTTTAAAGTTTTGAAGATAAATCGATCACTCCTGCTATCTTCCACATACTACTTACCCATTGCCATTACCCAAGTAAGTGACTAGAGTACCATTCTTCATTACAGTGTCATAATGATATAATTATAGCTGTGCCATCAGGTTTTTTTTCCCTGTCACATGAAAATCTTTGAAATTGGGTAAGTATTAAGAACCTTAGGTTTTAAACTTTTAGTTCAAATTTGTATTTTGCATTAGTTTGTTTTTAGAAGACAAACAAATTGTCTTCAGCTGTATTTTCTTTTTCTTTTTAGATAAGCTGTTGCCAGGTGATGATGGAGCCCTTCGGTTACACCTTATGCATTACTGTGAAACGTGTACAGCCCCCAGAATGCCAGACTTCATTCTGTATGCTTTTCATAGCGCCTACCGGAAGCTCCCGTGGAGGGACCTGCACCCTGACCAGATGCTCATGGAGGCCTTCTTTAAAGTAAGCCCTTTGCTCTGCGTGGCACAGCCTGGCCTCCAGGAATGGCAAGTTCACTGTGGTCTCTAGGCACAGGTGCAGAGTGTGCCAGAACAGACCGTGCCCGCATTACGTGTCACCCAAGTTGTGTTTGTATAAAACAAGCATCCCGTGGAAACCATTTCATTGTGTTAGTAGATGAGTCAAAGACAGGACTATTTTTAAAACCCAGAGAAGGATTTTTGTCTGTAATCTGGCAGCTGTACCCTAGATTTTAGTGATTGCTGTATGAGTACGTTTTAATGACTTTGTCACACACAATCTTGGTGTTTCAGTGTATGCTTGTTTTTCTAGGATAGTATCATTAGAACTACCTATTGTTAAAAGTTCTATTAAAGCAAAAGGTAAGTTGGTATACAAGCCATTAGTTTCTTTAAGCAGTTATGTGAGGGAATAATTAGGTTGTAAGAGATAGAAGTGCACTGTAACAACCAGTGATGCATCATCATCATATAAAGATCTGAAATAACCTGGGAAAGTGCCAGTAAGTTTGTGCGTGGGTGTTTGTAGAAGAGGCAGTAGTTACAGAAAGTAGGCATAGCAGTGTCAAAACCAGTCAGGATTTTTGTTGTTCTTATTAAGTTTCTATTTTAAAAAACCCTTTATAATCTTGTCTTAGCTTTTTATGATCATTTGTTAATTTGTTCATAGTTGCCAGTTCATTTGGGTGTACACCTAACAATGTCATATTTCTTATTGGGACATCTTAAGTGCTTTCATTACTGCAGGTCCACAGTTACTTGTGACAATTAGTGAACTGTACTGTAGTCTTCTACTGCTGTAATTGGAGATCCTATCTGGAGCTGCTCTTGTAGCTGAGCCCAAAAGAAAGTGGAGGACAGTTGTCTAGGCCAAGAATGGTTTTATAGCTAGGCTTAGTGTATGAAACAGGCACTACATAGATATTCATCACCATTCTGAACATGGAAGAGAGTGTTTGTTTAAAGAGCTATAAGACAGCATTAAGTAAGTGGGCAGCTTTAGCTGTAAGACAGATTAACTAGTAGGACAGTCTGTAAAGGGATCCTGGAGACTCTTTCTCTAGGAGTTTTAGTCTAATGATAGCTGGCCTTGGCCTGCCCTGAAGCTGAGAACCTTTTGGGTCTATGCGTTTTCTTGGCATAATAAAGTATGATGTTTTTTGAGGGGTTGAGGGTGAGGATAAAGAATAGATTATAAAGGAGGATGAAATACGATTTTCTACAAGGGAAAAGAATAAGTAGTTAGCATAATACAATGATGTTAATAATAGGAGAATGTGAATCATCACCAAATTCCATTGATTGTGACTTTATAAATGGAGTACAGCTTTTTAATCTTCATTTTAAAAGGAAAAATTTGTAGCTGGCCATGTTTTATTTTAAACAGACTTGAAATAGGTTTTTAAGAGATACCTTTGACATTGATTATATACTTTATAATACATCTGCCCTACCCTGATATATTTTAAATAGGATTTAATTAAATGTTACACAATCATAAAAAATTATAATGACTAATAATATGGAGGCATTTTAATAACATAACATTACTAAAGTGGCAATATAAAAATTATGTGTACACTATAGTGGGTCTCAGGGTATGGTTCTAGGATCAGCACTTGGGAACTTGCTCAAAATGCAAATTCCTGCTCCCATCCAGAAGTAGGGAGTAGAATTAAAATTACTAGGGTGGGGCCTGGCAATCTGTGTTTTAGTGAATCCTCCAGATGGTTCTGACGCATTGTCAGCTTTGGGAACTGCTGGCTAGTAGCTCTCAACCATTGCCCTGTCCCAGCATACCTGAGGACTGTGTAGACTCCCTGAACACCAGTGACTAACTGGCAAATCCACCCTGGTTGGAGCTAGAAAAGGTCATTTCTCTCCTGTTAAGAATTAGTGGAATTAATAATGAACCCTAAACAAACTGAAAAATGTACACATGTACTACTTATGTGGAAGGACAGATATTAATAAATGTTAAGTCTAAATCTCTGGGGATAGGATTATGAATGATTTTTATAATCTGAGAAAAAGTTATTTTAAAAAATACCAATTGATTTATACACAGTTTCAAGATCCATAGACAGTTTAAAGTATAACATTGATTTTAATATGTTTCCATTTAGGTGGAAAGAGGAAGCCCCAAGAGCTGCTTCCTATTTCTGGGTTCTCTCCTTTGTGAAGTCAATTGGGTCAGTGCACTCTCTGATGCGTGGAGTCCCAGTCCCCACCCGGAGACCCGAAGCATGATCGTCTGCCTCCTTTTCATGATGATTTTACTGGCAAAGGAAGATCAACTTGTAGACCAAACAGTAAGTCTGGAAGGCCTGTGTGAGGGCGTGGCAAGGCCTCCTAGATCCTCACTGTCTGTGAAGTTGTAGTTTCTCAGTTGTTTCCCTGATGCCTCTGTCAGAGTGGGTATATGCTTGGCATAGGGGATGTGCCTTCAACTAGGCGCCTGATTTTCTTAGATAGTTATCATCTAATTCTAGATTATGAAGGGAACCCTGAGTTAGAATATAAAAATCAATTCTCATTAACTGCTAGTTCTACCACCGATCAGAGAGTTCTTTGAAAACTGGGTTCTGAATACTTAGAAATCTTAACATTAATGTGTTTTTGTCAAGACTTTTGTTATTACTTTCACTAGTACTCCTAACTTGAGCAGATACTTACTTGACATCTCAAGTGTTGTAGGCTTATCATAGGCCATCATCCATCATAGTAGTCACTGCGCAGACGAGTTAAGGACACATTTCTGGGAAATCGGGAGCTCTAGAGCTAACAGAATATGTGTTTCATTTTTAGGATTCATCTCTACTTTGTCTCCTTGGACAGACAAGCTCACTGTCGTGGCATCTTGTGGATATTGTGTCATACCAGAGTGTGCTAGGTTATTTCAGCAGCCACTACCAGCCATCCATCATCCTGGCAAAGGAATCTTCTGCTGAATTAATTGTGAAGCTCCTGAAAGTTTCTGCAGGCCTTTGTGTTCCTACTGATGGCCAGAAGCATCTTGTAAGTTGAGTGGGTGCTGTGAAAGGCAGAGTGTTCTTCAGGACTGGCAGTAGCTGTAAGAACATAAGTGCTGCTAAAGGCAGTCTCGAACCTTGTGATGGCTCAGCAGAAAAAGTTGGAGGATGTGTATCATTGTGTACTCATATTTTGGCTTCTCAGATCTTTTAGTTTTAATTATCTCTTCTGATAAGCTTTTACTTGTTAGCAGTGTCAATGCTAACAAGAGGTCAGGAGGATTGAGGGCTGGCAGTTGGTTCAGTGATCTGAATGTTATTGGCAGCAGAATGGCAGGGAAGTTAGGAGCATTAGTTTGAAGTATGACAAACTCAGGGCCCAGCTCACTACCATTCTGCCCTTAATTTTCTCATCTGAATTGGAAATAATGTTACCTTGCCTGGAAGTATTGTTGTGAGGATTAAATTAGATAATGAACATAAAAGTTTCTGGAAAAGTACCTGGCAAGTGTGTAGGTAATGTTGTTATTAATGTAGTAAAAAAGGAAGCATCTTCTACTGGAATCTGGGAGAACATGGGTTCCAGTCTAAGTGTTCCCCCGGGTTTGCATATCCTTGGACACAGGGCCCTTTACACACCTGTCTGCATGTGGCTTCCCGCTCTGTGCTCTTCACTCCCTACCAAGGTGGTCAGTGTGCTGCTGTGTTCCTGGGGAATACTCAGTTAACACTGCTTGCATGGATTCATTTGAAAAATCCTCTTTCTGTTTGTCAGGATGCAGTTCCAAAATGCCAAGCCTTCATTCATCAGATGGTTCAATTCCTCAGCTCCCTGGAACAAAATGGAAAAATCACCTTAGCAGTCCTAGAACAGGAACTGTTTAAACTCTTGGATGATATACTTGTCTTTAACCCGCCTGGTAAGTGACCACAGCGAAGTCATGCATGTATTCAGTAAATGAATTTCTGCTGGTGTATAAGGCATTATGAGATCAGGAAGATGGTTAGGACACTCTCATTTCTGTTTTCAGAGAAGCAGGGTCAGAAACATGACTGGATTGCTGAGATTTTGTGTCATCTCAACACTGGGCAAGGCATGAACATTAAGAACGTGAGGAGGGCCGACACTGTCAGATGCTGATGTGAGGTTAACCGGGCTGGGGATTAAGTTACATGATTGGATTTAATGATCGGGAGGTACCTAGAGCAGCATTCCTAGGCGTTTGGGCTCTTCCCTGGGAGGGCACTTCAGAGTCACCTGTAGGCTTGTGAAATAACTGCATGTGGAGAACTTGTGCTCCCAGCAGCTGGGGGACTGGATATCCTGACCGCCTCTCTTGCCGAAAACAACTAAGAATGCTGGTTAAAATGTTTTTAAGAAATCAAAAATTACTTAACGAGGTGCCAGAAAATCTCACAGGTCAGAAGCTAAGTGGCAAGAGGAATCATCTAGGCTGAGCTTTCATCTTGCAAGCTTTTGCTGAACCTTCTTTGATTAGGAGGAGGTGATAAAGCCCTGGTGGGAGCTGAAGATGGGCATCTATAAAGAGTTCCTGTGCATAATTCCCCGGGATGGCATCCTCGGTGTGAAGGATGAGGCAGAAATAAAACTGCCCCCAGGAGAGGAAAGCAAAGACAATTCTTGTTTACCTTGGAGTTGAGTCGATGTCTAAGTGTGTGTGGAGGGAAAGCTACCTCTTTTGAAAATTAGTAAGTACATGTAACCCTCTTGTGGGTTTAAAGCATGAATTCATAACTACCTAGGTTGTCCAAAAAAATCCCTCAACCTGGGAATTGAGTTAAAGTAGTTTTGTGTTGGCAGTGTAGCCAGGCGCCCAGCAGAAAGTAACCACAGGATCTCTTTGAAGGAACCCACCTTCAACTCAGGCCTTGGAATGTCACATTTTTAAAAAGTCATAAAACAACAAGGAAACAAGGCACCACATGCAAGTCAGCATAGTCAGACATATAAAGACTTAAGACGTTGAAATAATTAGCACAATAATTAATTTTAATTTTAAACATTTTTAAAAATAAGAGAGATTTGAAAATACCAGTAAGGAGCAAGGCATTGTGGAAATATTCAGCTTTGAGAGAGAATTTGATATTCCTGCAATGAAAAACACAAAAATTCTACTAAAAAGTTAACAAGTACGTTTAGCAGCAGATCCAACCCATCTGAAGGGAACATTAGGAAACTGAAAATATAATTATGAAGAAAATACCCAGAGTGTAGAACCGACAGAAAGAATTGGAAGGTGAGGTTAAAGGGCATAGGGGGTAGGCTGAGAAGATCGACATCTATCCAGTCATCCAGTCAGAATGCCAGAAAGAGAGGACATGCAGAACTGGGGAGCAGCAATAGCAGAAGAGACACAAGGCTGAGAATTTTCCAGCGCTGCTGAAGACAACAATCCTTAGATTCAGTAAAGCCAGCAAACCCATGCAGCATAAATAGAAATTCAGCCTGGAGACACCATAGGGAAACTTCAGAAGCACTGGTAACAAAGAAAAAAAGTCCACATCCAGGAAGGGAAGACAGAGTACCTACAGTGGAACAATACTTACACTGACTGACAGCCAACTCGGAGCTGCAACAAAGGAAGCTGTAAGGCATGAATCAACAACTTCAATATGCTGTGAGGAAATGACTTATAACCTGGAATTGTAAACTAAGAAAAGCCATCTTTCAAGAATGAAGATGAAATAAAGATATTTTCATAGAATACTGAGAATGTTCTTCCCAGTAGACATCACTAAAGGAAATACTAATGTGTGTTCTCTAAGTAGAAATAAAGTGGTCACTCGTAAAAGGTTTAGGTTGCACAAAGGAAAAATAAGCAGAGACAGTGCTAAAATGTGACTACCTATGCAAATATATATAAACAGAACTGCCTATGTAAAACTATAATAATCATGCATTTAGGGGTTTAAAAAGCAAGAGCTAAAATGAAATTACATGATCACAAGTATATTAAAGTTAGGAAGGAGGTTAAATTACAAGAATTCTAAAGTTTATTATTGTTTGAGGAGGTAAATGGACTAAATTTACATCTTGTAAAATATGAGTGTTGAAAATTCTAAGAAATTCACCAAAAGAATAGAAATAAAATGTATAATCTCCAGGTGTGTAGAGAGATAAAAAGGAATTCCCAAAATATGTGCAATCCAAAGAAGGCAAGAAAGAAGCATGGAGAAGGTGAGAAAAATGACCAAAAATAAGACAGTAAAATTAAAACATATCAGTAAATGTAAATGGACCAATACTCAGGTTAAAAGACAAAGATTGTTGGATTGGATTAAATACTCAATGGTGTCTAGCTTTAAGCTGTATTAGAAGTACATCTAGAGCATAGGATATAGAAAACTTTCAATAAGGCAGCCCTGTCAGGCAAATATTAAAATAGAAAATTGGCATAGCTTTCTTAACATTAGGCAGAGAGAACTATAAGGCAGAAACCATTAAGAACTAGATGATCTCTAGTGTGTTTTTCTGCCTTAAAGTTGCATGAGAAAAAAATAAGAAATAAACTTTAGTAAAGATAAGGAGAGTCACTGGAAATTGATAAAAGGTTTAATTCACCAGGAGGATATAATAATTATAAACTTACTTGTACCTAATAATGCAGTAGCAAATGTAAATACATAAAGTGAAAATTGACAAAACTAGAGAAATGTCAATGTCACTCACAATGAGAGATTTTGATGTATGACTCACAATAGGTGAAGTAGACAGGAAATCAGGAAGGCTGTAGGAAGTCTGAACAGTCCAGATGGATGTAATGGGTAAGTGGAGAACGATGTGTCCTGAAAATGCACAGTACACACTGTAGCTGGCTCACAAGGGACAGTTAAGGAACTTGACCCCTTAACTAGGCTTAATGCAAGTCTTAACCAATCCCAAAGGATGGGTATTGAACATTAACACAGGACAGTGAACTTAGATGTCAGTAACAAAATATAATGGTGGTGGGGTGGGAAGGAACTAAACATTGGAAATTAAGAAGCAAACTTTTAAATAACTAATGACCAAAGGAGCAACATAGTAGGAATTTAAAATATTTAGAACTAAATGAAAAGATAGAATGCATCAGAATGTGTGGAATACAGCTAATATGGGACTTAATTTCATGGCCTTTAATACTTATATTAAAATTTTAAAAGCTGAAAATTAATAAGAATCCAGTTAAGTTTATAAAAAGAACAGCAAAATACAAGCAAAGACTATAGAAGGAAGGAAAGTCATAGAGAAAATAAATAGGAGGAAACTAAGGATGAAGAGCAATGAAACTGGTAAATGTGTAGGTAAATCTAAATGAAATTTGTATAAAACAGTAATAATAGTGATGTCTTACTGTGTTATGGCAACAGAAGGGAGGGTGACAGGAGTTAGAATGTTACAAAGCCTTTACCTTGTCTGGGAACCAGTTAATATCAGTCTGAAAAATCAAGGAAGCGTGATGTAATTTGTAAGTCATCCACTATACAAATGTTAGGAGTTTCTAACTTTCAAACTAAAAGAGAAAAAAGGTAGAATAGTAGGAAACATTATAAAAGAAGGAAAAGAGAAAGAATGTAAATGGGAGGAACAACTGGAAGGCATATAGTAAGATAGTAGATTTTGAGCCAATTTTATCAGTAATTATATTAAATATGAATGCCTATAATTGTCACACTGGATAAGGAAGAAACAACCCAATAGAGCAAAATGAACAAGAGCCTTGAATTGACATTCTATAAAACAATATCTTAATGACCAATATATATATACAGAAAGGTGCAAAACCTTACTAACAATTAGGGAAATGCAAATTAAGACCTTTATTTTAGTGACTTACAATGACCTATCTACCAAAATGTCTAAAATTAAAAAGACTTCTTCAATATTAAGTATTAGCAAGGATGTAGATCACTGTAACTCATATACTGCTGATCAGTAAATTGATAGAACCATTTTTAAAAGCGTCATCTATCCTGTGACCCTGTGATATAAAAGAAATGTATATAGCTATGCTCTGAGAAACATGAGTGATGTCCATAGCTATGCATCTGAGGGTGTCCCAAACTAGAAACAGCCTGTATGTTCAGTGTAAGGGGTGAATTGTTATGTATTTATAGAATAGAATGGAAAAAGTAGTGAAAATAAACTATAGCAGTGAAAATCTGTAACAGCATGAATGAATCTCACAAACATTTTATGTTTAAATATTGTTTGTGAATAGTATTTAGAGAGCATAGTAATAGAAAGTAAGCTGGTGTTCAAGTTGGTTAGTATTGATGAACAAAAAAAAGTTGAAATTTCTTGCATCTATCTACAACATAGATTTATCAGAGAGAGTATATAATATGGTAGTTAAAAATACAGATTCTGGAACCAGACTTCCTGGCTTTACTACTTAGTAGCTGTGTGACCTTAAAAAAAGTTGTATAACCTCATTTGCAAAATGGGGATAGTAATCGTACCTGTTTCATACAGATCTTGTAAGTATGGAAGGAGATAATGCCCTTAAAATTTTACCATCAGGCTGGCAAGTCAACAAACCCTCAGTGAATGTGAAAAGAACAAAAAGAAAAATTAGCAGGAATATGGGGGAAATTATTTTAGAGTTGGTTACATGTGATTAGACCAGGGAGGGTGAATAATAGCTGGCCAGGCAAAGGAGAGGAGGGCGTTCTCAAAAGATCTTAATCTTTTGATTAAGGGGAGTGATGGGATCAATCTGGGTTTTAAGAAAATATTTGTTGGCTGTGTTTATGATAAATAGGGAGGGGAGAGGCTGGGATCTATTAGGAGGCTTATTGTAGTAATTTTCTGTTTCTGTGAGTCATAATTAAAAGATAAATTAAAATTAAAATTGCTATTCACCTGAAATTCAGAGGTTAAGACCTTTATTACCAAAAATATTTATACCTATGAAAATATATGAAAAAAAACGTGTAACATATACTGTTAATATTTTTCCTAAATTTTTAAAATAAGTCCTTGCTCGATAGTAAGTAGGTCTTACAGTAACATTGTTAGGGTGTGTCTGACATTGTGCAAGTGGGTGAGTTTGGTTTGACTGGTGTGATGAGTAAAATTGAGTAAGACTTCCTTGCTCCCGCTGGAGCCTTGTGTTAGAAGTCTCAATTCTATTCCATTAAAAATATATTTTTTTAATCTAACTTAAGAACAGTGAGTAGTTGGCAAAAACGGAGCCTGTTGAATAGTTTTCTCCAAAAAATCTCAGTGAAATATATTTTCTATTTTTAAATATGAAGAAGGAATCTACCTCAGTAACCAACTCATTTGTGGTTCTCTTTTAACATGAATTTGCTCTGTGTCTTACATTCTCTGCTCTTTTCATCTCTTAATTTGTTGGCAAGACCCATGTATATTACTAGTCTGTCCTTTTCTTATTTAAAAAGCAAAGAAATAAAAGAGCTGCTGTTAAGAGCCCTTTTAAAAAAACTTTAAAAGGTTTTTCCTTTCCTTACTTTTGTATTTTGTTTTAAGTAATAGCCTTTATTCCTTTCAAATACCTCTAGAATATCAATAGGTTTGGCAGTGGTGGGGGTGGAGGAACTGTTTCTAATCTGTTTATCAAATGACACCTGAGATCTATGTTTTTGGTTTCCTGCATGAGAAAAGTTTGGAAAATAAAGACTAGTTAAGCATGTTCTGATAAATAAGTTACTCTTCCACACCAGCTTGGTACGTCCACTTGGTCCAGTGCTGCTCGGCCACACTGCTGTAATCTAAGATCCTGCAGTAGTTTCCTTCTTTGCTCTTACTAAGTACTGATGTGCAACATCCTATCCTTGAAAGCTAACCACCATCCAGAATCTTCTTTCTGGTCCCTGAGATCAGTCCTTAGAATTGTAAAATCTGCCCTTACAGCAGCCAGAGATTGAAGCACTGTTGTTCCCTTGATTGTATTCATGCTGCCATTCTTCCACCTTTCACTGGCATGTGTCTGTGTTCCTCTTTAGATGTGGACAGCCAGACCCGCCACATGGCCCTCAGCAGTCTCTTTAGGGAAGTCCTAATGATGATGAACAATGCAACTATTCCAACGGCAGAGTTCCTGCGGGGCAGTATCCGGGCCTGGATTGGGCAGAAAGTGCACGGGCTGGTGGTGCTGCCCCTTTTAACAGCAGCCTGCCAGAGCCTAGCTTCTGTCCGACACATGGCCGAGACTACAGAAGCCTGCATCACTGCCTACTTCAAAGAAGGTAAGAGGCTCTCGTTAGGTCAGTCCTTTCCAGGGTACGTTAAAGCTTTGTCAGAAGGGAGAGCTTTCCAGACCCTTCCAGTGAGGCATTATAACACCCTAATTTATTTGTAAGAGGTGTTGATGTTTCACAATATCTTCTGTTTTTCTCATAAAGATCTTCAGTTTAGCACAGGAACCGATGGCCCATGTCTTTACTATAGTCATGTTTCAGTGCCAGAAACCTCTATTCATTTTACATTAGTTCTGGAGTATGAGACCAAACTTTTATGAGACAAATTGTATATGTTACAGGCTTAGTTATGGTCCTCAAACAAATGCTATAAACTAGAATCTATTAAGACCTTCTAATTAATTTTCCCTAATTTGACACTTAAAATGATCTTTCACAGGAGTCCTTCTATGGCTTCCTGTCACATCTTTTAAACTTTTATTAAGAGGTAACTCCCTCCACCCTCACCTTCTGTAATGTTTCTTATTCCCTACCTCTAATCTCTCATGATGGAAACCACCTGGTTTGACTAAGAGTTGCTCAGAACAGCACTTTTAATTCTGATACCTGGATGCACATCATAGTGCATGCAGTGGGAAGGAGCAAAGGGTATTGGACTGAGAATGCCAGGAAGTGCCCAAAACCTCCCTGTGCCCCTTCTTGATACCCTGGGAACAACCCATGTCCCCATGTCCCCCATGGAAGTTGCTGTGCATGTCACCATGTTACCTCACCCTTATTTCCCCACAAAGAATTGAGAACTGCTAGGGTAACATTCCTGCTTCAAAAATCATTCTGTTACTAAAATTAAAGTGCTCTTTGTAGGTTGTGAAACATTTTCAAGGATTTCCACCCAGATGAGTCAAACTAAGCTTTGATAAGCAAAAATACTTCAGATGGAGAGAATAATAATAATTCTCTTGAAAAAGCATCAGTATTCATAACAAAATGGTATTTAGGTGAAGTTAAAACTGTTAGATGACTGGGACAGGCAATGTCTGCCTACATGTGATGTTAATGATTGTATGAGGAGTAAGATGATTTATAAAAGTGCTGCCCTGAATTCTGACTTCTTAACCTTCCACAGTGGCTAAACAGAGGGCAGGCATTTAACATGTGGACTTCCCAGTCTAAGCTGCAAGGCACGTTTCACTTTTGTGGCTTCTAGGGTCAATCTGGGCAATGTTTTCTTGACATGAAGCTTGAAAAGATTCATTAAAGTACTTAAATAATTTGATTCTTGCTTTTATTTTGCTGTCTCCTCTTGTTGCTCATTTCTTAGGCTCCCTCAGCCAGAATTCAGGATGGGGCCCCATTCTGGTGTCCCTTCAAGTTCCTGAGCTCACCATAGAAGAGTTTCTGCAGGAGTGCCTGTCCCTGGGCAGTTACTTGACTCTTCATGTCTACTTGCTTCAGTGTTTAAATAGTGAACAGACTCTAAGGAACGAAATGAAAGTGTTGCTCATCTTGAGCAAGTGGTTGGAACAGGCGTATCCAAGGTGAGCTGGCCTTCCAGCTGCTGTGTCAAACTCACTTGTATTTGGATAACTTGGAATTTAGGGTTTTAAGTAAGTGTTCTTTTAAGTGCACAGAACCAACTGATACATGAGTAACAAACAAGTTTATGAGATACAGTGACACTTGTTTCAGAAAGATTTTTACTTGCCTGGGCTAATTATCTGAACAGTGTTTTTATTTCTTAAAGCAGCCATTTTGAAGCAGCAACCTTTGGTTTCTTATCAGTTAGAGTAGGGGTAACAGTGTGTAACTTATGGGGTTGTTAGGAGGATTAGGTGAAAGAAGTGAAGCCCATACCATCATGCCCAGCATGAGTAGTGCTCAGTGAATGGCAGCTTATACAGTCTCATGGCTTTATTAACATTAGTACACATCAGCCTAAGCTTTTAAAGTAGTAAATGCCCTCTATACTTAAAAGTCAAATGTGGGCTTTCAGTTAAATGGCAGTGGAAAGAAGACACTTCTGATTGTCTTTTCTTCCTGGGCTGCCCCCTAGCTCTGTGCAGGAAGAGGCAAAGCTGTTTGTGTGGTGGCACCAGGCCTTGCAGCTGTCCCTGATTCAGATGGAGCAGAATGACTCGGTCTTGACGGAGTCTGTCATTCGAATTCTGCTCATGCTTCAGAGCAGGCAGAGCCTGCTGGCCGAGGAGAGACTCAGCTCTGGGATTCTGGGAGCAATTGGGTTGGGCCGGAAGTCGCCCTTATCTAACAGGTAAGGAAGCACCTGCTGCTGCTCCTCTAAATCGGCCTCAGTGTCTGTACCTCCTTAGCTATTGTGATACTTTAGTAGGTTTTTTGACTTAGGGGCTTGGTTTCTCCAAAGGCTAAGAGAAAAAAATTAATTAGAGCCTCTTTATTTTTTATATATTTAAAAACATATTTATTCCTTCTCCTATTAAAACAACTTTGTTTTTATGTTCAAAGAGCATTTTCTTAGTAAAATCTCTTGTATTTTGACCATGTAACCTGACCACACTACTAATTTTGTTTTAGTTTTGATCAAAGGATGGTGTGCAAGGTCAGGTCAAATGCCCCAGTTTATCAGGGCAGTCCAGGGCCCACGAGGGACTCAGCCTATTAGAGCTGTGAAGTCAAGATTAGTTTAAGTTCACTGATAAGAAGGAAAGATAATGAGAAGCAAGACTAGGTTTTTGTGGCTAAAAATTCCAAGGCATGAAAGAATGTGCCACTAGGCTTCCATTTTATCTCATAATACTTATTTGCATTATGGATTTCTTTTAAAGCCCTTCTCAGTGTTAAAGAAGAGTCCTCATACCATTCTGAATTGGCATTCTTGTGGAACAGTCTGTTCTGTTGTTGCAGGTTAGGGAATCATCCAATCCAAACTAGTTAGATGTCATGCTTCTTCCTTGATGGTAGACTGGCAGGACCATGTGATTTTGATTCACTTAAATTGTGGCAAAATATGCATAACATAAAATTTGTCATGGTAGTCCCTTTAGAATGTACGATTCAGTGGCATTTAGTACATTCATGATGTTGTTGTAACCATCACTACTGTCTAGTTGCAGAACATTTCTATCACCCCAAAAGGAAATCCTATACTCAATAAGTAGTCAGTCCTTATTCCTCTCTCCCCTAAGTGTCTGATAACCACTGATTGACTTTCTGACTTTGTGTGTTATATCTGTTGTGAACATTGCATGTAAGTGGAATATATAATATGTGGCCTCTTGTGTCTGGCTTCTTTCACTTGGCATGAAGTTTCAGGGTTAATCCACATTGCAGCAGGTATCAATAGTTCATTCCTTTTTATGGCTAAATAATATTCCATTGTATAGCTATACTATACTTTGTTTATTCATTCATCAGTTGGTCAATATTTGGTTGTTTCCACTTTTTAGTTATTGTGAACAGCTGCTATAAAATATGTTTACAAGATTTGTTAGAACACCTGTTTTCAGTTCTTTTGAGTATCTACCCAGAAGTAGAATTGCTGGGTCATGTGGTTACTCTGTTTAACTTACTGAGGAACTGCCACACTATTTTCCAAAGTGCCCACACCATTTTTTACATTCCCACCACAGTGCCTTAGAGTTCCAGTTATTCTACATCTTTGCTAACATTTTCGTTCTTGAGTCTGAATTATGCTTTCATTGTTTGGGCAGTGATAATGGAAGGGAAGATTAAGGCTCCTTCTTGATCATCTTTTAAGATTTTCCTGAAGAGACTAACAACATTAGGTCCAGAGATGTGTTTATCTTGTTTTGTAGTAGAGAATCTGGTGGTATTTTAAAATGCTTATTTTAATAGTCATTTGCTTGTCTCCCTCATGTGTAAGGTTCCGAGTGGTTGCTCGAGGAATGGCTGCCTTCCTTTCCATTCAGGTTCCTACTGAGGATCAGATCCGTTTGAAGCCTGGCTCTGAATTATATCTGACTCCAAAAGCTCAGCAGGTCAGTGAAAACAGCTTTATAGTTAAGGGGTAGAAGTTTTCCACCTGGCCTCCTTCCCTAGGAGATCAGGAGATGGCAGCTGTAGTCTTTATACATAAGGATCTACAGTAACACAGCATACCCTTCAGTGCGTTCTGCTTACTGGAAAATGGTTGCTGCATGTGCCTGCCTTAGATTTTAAACGTATTTTTGTAGGCACTTGTCTAGAGCCCTACCGCTACCATTGTAGAAGCAGCAGGACCATAGGGAGCCAGTTTGGGATCAGATTTGGCTCTGATAAACATGACTTCATCATGACTGCCACGTGCTGGGGGCTGGGCACAGAAGATATGGATGCAGTGGAGAATGCTGGAGGTTAGCTGAGCCTTAACTTGGAGCCAAAAACATGGCTCCTGTTTTGTGAGTCTGGAGGTTGACAGCTGTGAAAAATTATAGTTTATTCTAAAAATGTGGAAGGCCACATGGCAGTGGTCCCATTCCAATATCTATTTTCACCTGTAAACAGGCTGGCCTGGTACAAAGGCATATAATAAATATAAAATGATGGCCAACATCCTTCAGTGCTTACTACAGGCCAGGCACTGTTCTGTTTCAACTCACGCTGTTGATGAGTTAAAAGTTTTAACTCATGTAATCCTCATAACAACCATGTCACAGGAGCTTTTATCGTCCTGGTTTTGTGGATGAGGAAATGGAGAGAGAGAGATAGAGAGAGAGAGACACACACACAGACAGAGAGAGAGAGAGAGAGAGAGACAGAGAGACAGAGAGACAGAGAGAGAGCGAGCCTTGTAAGTGCTGGGGCCAGGATCCATACTTGCCGCTCTGCAGTGCTGTCCCTGGAAATGGTGAAAGCTTAGACCCCTTGGCTCTTCTGTTGAGCTTTGTAATGTCTACCAGCCATATGCAGGGTGCTTTCTGGGTCTGGAAGAGCAAGGATCAAGCATTCCTGAGTGAAAGTGATGGCTCCCTGCCTGTCCCCATTGATTCTTGTTATTTTCTCTGTGTGGTGGTCCCCATTAAGGGGAAGGATTCAGGGCTTCACAGTTCACTTTCAGACCCTGAGAGTGGTGAGCATGTATACTTGGGAAACAAGACTCCCACCTCTAAGAACCACTGTTCTTTTTTGTTTTCTCCAAATATAGTCTTTTTCTCTTCTCCCACTATGAAGGAAGGAGAAATTAACATTATGTCATTTAAGCATGTTTTTCTTTATTTACTACTGAAGAGAGGCATGGGAACATTATTGTTTCTGTTGGGCAGAAACCAGAAGAACCTGATCTGTACTTCATGCTTGCTGACTGACTGAATGACCTTATTGCTTATCTTTAGCAGCACTTAGCCACTGGTTTCTTTTGAATTTCATACAGTTAGACAGTTTAATATGACATTATTTTGTAACCTAAGAATAAAACTAATAGCAAGTTAGGTTTGCTTGTGCCTGTGATTTCCAGTAGGGGACCCAGGAAGAGGCTGCAGATGATGTGGTGGGGAGGGCTCCCTGCTGGCACTGGGGGAAGGAGGACAAGGCCGGAAGAGCAGCCAGGCCACAGTAGCGGCTCTGCAGGGGAGGGTTGGGAAACAGCACTGGCCGGGAGCGGGAAGGCTGGATGTGGAAGGCAGCAAGAGCTAGAAAATCTCAGGTTGCTGGCTGCCTTCTGCTTGTGGTTAATCAGTACCTGCCTTTGGGACATGTAATTCCAGTTCTGTAGGCTTCCCCAGAGGCTCACGGTTATATCAGATGATAATGGCAGGTTTGCTACACCTCTGGCAGTCATGTTATGTGCATCTGGATGGATAACCCTTTTGTCTTCCATGTCTTTTAGGCTCTGAATGCTCTTGAATCCTTGACATCAAGTAAACAGTATGTTGAGTACCAGGATCAGATATTGCAAGCCACACAGTTTATAAAGCATCCTGGCCATTGCCTGCAAGATGGGAAAAGCTTCCTGGCTCTTCTTGTTAACCGTCTTTATCCAGAAGTGCATTATTTAGACAACATACGATAGTAACACTAAGGCTCTTGAAAAACCCTGTTGCTGTTTATGTTTACATTTTAACTTTGCTTTTGCACAAGTAACTTTATTCAGTTTCACTGCAGAGCTCAGTTTAGCCAATGAATTAGTTGACTGAGATGCAGGTTGAGGAGCACTAGATAATTCTGTTGTTCATGTGCACATGTGTATGTGTGTGTACATGTGTGTTTTCTTAGCTCTTAAAACTTCTGGGGACATACTAGTTTTATGTTCATCCAATAGGAGAAACTTACTCTCATTTGGTTACAGAGCCACTTAAAGCTGCTGAATGTCTCACAAGACTCTGGATGGGGTTCTTTTGTATGTCTCCAATTCTGTCTTCTGTTTTTTTAAATTTCAAGACTCCTGTGTCAGATCTAAATACTTTGGGAATCATGTAGAACCCTCACTGTTAAACACCATTTGTGTTCCTTCAAAGTAAAACACACTTTGAAAATTGCGTTTCTCAAATGTGAGGAAACAGACCAGCTTAAAAATATTGTCTGTCTTCTTTTAGAAGGGAGATAAGAATGCTGAATTAAAGTGATTCATTGACTAAAATGTGATCACCTAATCCTGATGACAGTGGACAGCAGAGATGGTGTGGTGACAAGTCCATTTCCATCCATCCAGCTGTGTGTACTCATGGAGAAGGAGCTATCCGTCTAAATTGGGTGGCACACTGGTGATCTGTATGGGTGCACGCTGGTGGTCTGTGAGCGCATGCTGGTCGTCTGAGCGCACGCTGGTGGTCTGTGTGAGTGCACGCTCGTGGTCTGTGAGCACATGCTGGTGGCCTTGAGCACATGCTGGTGGTCTTGAGCGCACGCTGGTGGTCTGTGTGAGCATACTGTGCACAGATGGGTTTGTTGGCCCACATGTGCAGTGTAGTCAGGGTTACTCTCCTGTTCACTGTGGACACACATTTCCCCATTAACAGCCCTTACTGAGCCCCTGTAGACTCCCACATTTGCAGCTCTTGAGAAACACCAGGTTTAATGTCCAAGGTCCTGCTGTTGAATTAGGGAGAGAGAGGAAGGGAGGGCTTGAGGGAAAAATTGCGAGACAGAGACCAAGAGCCTGATTCTCTGTTTCCTGCTGGTTTTACTCCACACTTAAATTCAAATGAAGGTACAAACCTGCTGAAATACTTGTCTGTGGAAACTGGGTCGGGTCAGGAGACTGAACGACATTTGGCTTTTTTCAATAGCCATGTGCCTTCTGGTGCTGACAGCTCCTTCATTACCAGAGCCTGTCTGACGTCGCCCTGCTCTCCTGCCGTCTTCTTGCTCCTGTCACTTCCCCACAGAGAGAGCAGTTTGACTTTCATCATCATAGTCACAACTCTCTTGGCTCAAAATTGATTTTGTTTGTCCAGCTTGTGTATTGCTTTTGTATGGCTTTCCTATAGCCCAAGGATATTTGCCTAAAAATGTCTGAACAGTCACCAGAGAATTTATCAGGGATGAGGATTATATAGGTTACCACAGTGCTAATCTCTTTTCGAATATCCTTTTGGAGTGCTTCCCCCCATCTGGAAGTATGTAGGAGCTGTTTTGATTTTGAACTTCTTCGGTTGGATGGAACATTGCTGCCTGATAGACATGCTCTGATAAAGGTCATCGCTGTTCAGCCTCCAAGTTTTGTGGGCCACAGAGTGTCCATCTCTAAAGGGACATCTCAGAGCTGGCTTTGTTTTTGCTTCTCTTTTCAAAATCATTCATCTTCCCCGTGCTGTGTAAAAGAAAAGTTTGGAAGCTGTGGAAAGTGTAATGACTGGCTTGGCAAAAAGATTTTATGACAGGAAATGGCTTGTGTGCTGTTTTGTTTGAGGAAGATAATTATTGATGTCCTAGAATGTGAAGTTTTTGAGTGATAGTATGTACATTTTAAAGAACATTATGACCTGTTCACTTTTAAAAGTTTATAATATTTATAATGTACCTGGTCTGTACGAATTATAAAAAATAAAATCTTTAGTTGCAGTTGGTAAGAATCCCATTTTTAGGGCTATCACACTAGTTTGTAAAGTCTTCCAGTTAAAACTGATGAAGATTTTTATGCCTGATGTCATTGTATTATTTGACACTGTAACTTGATTATTAGAGATGGTCAGTGAAACTGCTTCCTCTTTAAGTACTTTGTGATTAACAAAAAGGTGCTTTGAAGACACTGAGAATAGTTTAGAAGATGGCAGCACTGCTGTAGCCCTCGGAAATGAGTAGACCAGCCTGCTGGCTTTCAGGAATGACAAGCCTTTGCTGGCAGAAACAGTTGATCTCCGGAGAGCACAGGGCCAGTTCCAGAAACAGCTCCTTGTGCTGCGTGTAGGTCTCTGGATCAAGCAAGACCCAGGCCTTGTCTGTGCAGAGCAGTGTTGAAAGCGAACTAGTGCAGGCCCTCTGCACAGGGCTGCCAGTGGCACCTGGTTGACAGAGGGATGGCTAGCAGCGTCCTGGTCTCTATGAAGAGCACCTTTTCTCTACTCATCTCCCACAGCATGCAAGGACCGATCAAGAGGCACACGAGATCCTCCTGCTTTCCGGCTCTTCCGCCTAACCCTTCAGGTGAGCACGGCGGAAAGCTGGGAGTCACGGTGCTGAGGGAGGTTGGTCGTGCACATGTGTCTGCTCACCCTGACAGAGGAGCCAGGACCTCGCCCTGCACGAGCTCCAGGGCATGCCCAGGGCCTGAGCCCCCAGGCACAACCATCTCATGGTTTCATGTCTGCTTCCCTGATGGCCTGAGTCTCTCAGTTCTTTGAGGTGGGGAAGCCTAGTCCAGAAAATGAAAACCCCCAGAGCAGCTTAACCTCACTTTAACCAAGTGCCAATGCCACTGATAATTTTGATCAAGCAGCAAAATCAGTCCACGTTGTACCAGTCAACGGCTGGCAAGTGTTCATGCCTCTTCTTTTTGAATGAAGGTGATGCAGTTTTCTATTGAATTTTTAATCCTAAAATTAGTGATTTTTCTCTGGAGCATGAAACAAATGTAGGTCGCTGCTTTAAGGTCAGCAGGGACATTAAAGCTCATGGAGTCCCATCTCTCACCGGCAGGGATCCCCAGCCCTGCTCCCCTGCCTCTCCTCTGCCTTCTGCCCATGGCCAGTACCCTTCGCCAGAACCGCTGGGGGGCTCTGCTTGTAGTTCCGCTTTATACTGAGCCAAAACTGGCCTCTTGGTAACACTTGTCACAGTTCTGCTGGGGCAGCCCAGGCTGGTGCTGTTCACCTGTCCCTTGCGACAGACTTTTGGACATTGTCACACTTGGTCACATCTCTGCCCTCCCCCAGTCCACTACAAGCTAACTGCCCAGTGCTTTTTTAACTGGTCCTCTTCCCCAATGATATCTGCCAGGGCTGCCCTTGAGGAAAAGTGCCCCAACAAGCCCGTGTTATTCTAAAAAGGCTGTGGCCAGATTTAGCAGGGCCAGGACTCAGCAAGGGCACAACCTTCAGGTGGCCCTCACCTGCAGACACCAAGAATGTGCTGCCTCACGTCATGTCCCCTGGTCTGGTCCCTGCCCTGGGGCTTGGTCACACAAGGCTGGGCCAAACAGCTAAGTTCACTTACCCTGGGCACTTGGGCAGTACCAGCTCTCAGCAGCTGTGCCCTATGGCTGGCATGTTCAATTAGTGACAAGTTCAAACTCCACACTTTGGCGACTTAACATCAGTTGCTGCCAAAGGCTGTTTGCATCACCTGTCAGCATGAGAGGTCTACGGAGGGTGCTTTGCACTTTCCAAAACTGCTCTTCATTTTGGACCAACCTTACAGCTTTGAGGTGGTAGCTGAATTTTTTTCTGTTCAGCTAACTTGTCTTATTAAGCAAAATAGAGTATAATGTTGGGAAAATGTTGCTTATAAAAAAAGAATCCTTTGCTGTGATCTTCTGTTTGCCTCTGAGTCATGCTGGATAAAATTCTTGGCTGGCAGCCAGGTGCTATTACTGCCCTTGTTCTGGTCCCTGATGATCCTCACACTTAATAGAGGCATCGTGTGTCCTGGGAAGATACTGTTGAAGTTTCCTTCAATCTGGACATTGCTGCCATACTCTGATGACAATTACTTGAAAAAAATAAACTACTGACCTTATTTTGGGATAATAAAATCACTAAGAAATGTTGTGTATTATAACTTTTATTTGTTGATGTACAAATATAGTATCTCTCACTGAGTATTGAAGGTTGGAATTTATTTTCCTTTCAATGGCTTAAATCACCTGTGTGACAAGTGCTGCTTGTGTTCAACTGTTTTCCTTTCCACAACTTGAGGCCTTTAAAACCACAGCCTAGTTGGGTCATTAAATGTGCAATATTCACTTGTTCAGGGGTTGGGAGTTTAGCATTTTACATGCTTGTACAGAAGACAAGTTTTTATGTAATGAGAAAAAGGGAGAAATGAGAATTGGCTAAGTAAAATTCTGCAAATAAACTAGACTCAAGTTCAGTTTACACACGGTGGACACGTCCCGCTTTGGGCAGACTGGTTGGCAGGTCTTTTCATGCAGAAATTACACTAAGAAAAATGTGAAATTAGAAGGCTTGTAACGAATAGAACCTATATTCTGTGACACTTCAACACAATAGGCAAGGTGTCTAGTTTCAAAGAGAATGTAAAGCTTGGTTTAAGAATCGGCATAGACAGGAGGCCACTGGTGGCCCCAGGGAGTGCAGGAGAGCCAAGGAGATCCCTGTGGGTCTGTAATGCAGTTGTGACCATGGTAGGAGGAGGGACAGGAAGCTGCACAAAGATTCCAAGGCCTGAATTCCAGGGTTGGGGTGGGAATGCCTCTGGGAGGGCCCAGCTGGCGGAGGTTGAGGGTGACAGTGTAACCCTAACTTGGTCACAGCATTGAAATGCCCAGGAGCCCTGCCTTAGCATTTGTTTGCATTAACATTTGTAAGACACACCTTGAAAGGGCCATGGGTTGTACGCTGGCACCTTATGAGCTGGGCATCCCACAGGGGTCTCAAACTTCAGCTTGCTTAAGAATCACCTGGAGTAAACTGGAGCCTGATTAAAAACAAGCCAGAAAAGGCATTTGAGAACAGTTGGGGAAATATGAATGTGGGCTGTAAGATGGTATTATTGAATAATTGTTCACATTTTCTCAAATGTGATGATGGCATTGAGGTTGTGGAGGAGAAGGCTTTGCTCTTAGTAGACACAGCTGAGGTATTCAGGAGTGAAGGACTGGTTCCTGCAGTTTACTCTCAAATAGTTCAAACACACACATGAAGCAAATACGGCAAAATGTTAGTAACTGTTGAATATGGGTGGTGGGTATCTTGTTGATCATCTTAATTTTTTTCAGCTTTGTGTTTGTGTGTTTGAAAATGACCATAATACAAAGTTAGGGGCAAAATCATCTGGAGAGTTAGTTTAAAATTCCATCCCTACACTCACAGCCTGTGATTCAGGAGGTCCAGGTGGTTCCCATGAGCAAGGTTCCCATGTGTTCTTGATGCAGGCAACCCTCAGCACTCGCTGGGGAAACCCTGCTCTGAGAGCCCAAGGTGCTGTGGGGGAAACCCTAGCCCCAGGGCATCTTGGGTCTGGAGTAGGTGCAGCAGCCATGGGAAACAGTACCAGAACCAACCCCGGGCTTGGCCCCTTGGGCACCCTGCCTCCCTCTGCTACTCGCATCCCTGTTGGAGGCAGCAATTCTTCACCAGGTGGAAGCCTACTGCTGCCCCCTAACTCCAGCAACTTTGAACTGCTTGGACATCACCCTGTGTCCGACCTCCTGGCCTTTTTTAAGACTGTCCCTTCTGTTTAGAATGACATACTTTCTTACCTCCAACTAACATTCTTCCCCATTTGCATGGCCAATGTGCACCATTTCTATGTCTTCTCCTCCAGAAACCCTTCCCAAAACTGGGCTGCCCATTCTTTTTTGTGTTTTCCCACAGCACTTCCTACTGTTACTTTCACATCTTATTCCACACTTACTGGGCTGTGTGGCTTAACTAGCATGAGAACTCCGGGAGAGTTCTACAGTGGAGTTATCAGGGCTGTTCCCAAATGCTTCTTGATTTCTTCCTTCCAGGTACAGTATAAGGTTGCACTGCCCAGGCCCTTGAGGGTGGTTGGACATGTGGCTAGTTCTGGCCAGTGAACTATGACCACAATTGGGAGGGCTAGAGCTTTATTTTTATCTCCAACCCAGCAATCCACAACATGAGAGATGGTGGATCCCTGGGAGCCTGAGTCCCTGAGTAAAAACAGTGTGCAAAGCACCCCTGCCAGTATGTGATGGGCATGTAGCTTTGGTGAGAATAAACCCTGCTTGTCTTCAGCCACTGTGAATTTAGGATTTGTTTGTTACTACAGCACAACCTAGCACAGCCTGACTGAAACACATGCCTCGGTCATTTCTGTATCCCCAAACACCTGGCCCAATTCCCAGCACAAAACAAACAAATTAGTAATTCCTATCACTGTATTCTTGGCTGAGAAACTGGCCTTAAAGACCAGGCAGATGTTCCAAGACATACCACTCCTGTGCCCTTCACTTCTTCCCTGGTGAACAGGACTCTGGAGGTGCCCCGAAGTATTCCCATACAAGGAGTTACAAATGCCAACTCCTCTGATCTTTGACAGATCAGTCTTCTGGATGGATCCATCACCCCCTTGCTCTGGTGAGGAGGGGAACCTCACAGAACCCACTGCCCTACTTACTAACTTGTGAAGATTCTTCAACCTTCAGGCCATCTCTGTAGAAAAGCATCAGAGAGGACCCTGAGCTTACTGTAGGTTACCACTCCAGCTCTGGGGAAAGTTCTGAAGGAAAGAGTTTGTTCCCCTGGCCTCTTCAGTCCCCGATAGCAGTTGCCCTTTCCTCTGCCAGCTTTTCTGGGTGTCAGACACACCCCCTCCTCCTCTCCCTGACCCCAGAGACTGCAGGGGCTAAAACATGTTTGCACTGATGTGTGAATAGGGAAAGCAGCAACCGATGAAGGCAGAACTCAGGCAAATGGGATGAAATTATTGGTGCTTTTGGACTTTGCACATCCTGGGAGGACGCAGGTCTCAGACAGAGGTCAGTGCTGCAGCTGCTCTATCCATGGGACCCTGCAACCCAGAGTGCCCCTCAGGCCTCCCAGGTTTCAGTCCTTGGCAACACTGGATTCCAGATGCTTTGAGATGATGGGTGTTTTGTTTCCTTTTCCCAGGGGTCCCAGCAAAGGTAATGCAGAGCAGCTGATGGAGTGAGAGGTGGGCAAAAAGTATTGGACAACACAGAAGGGCCCCAGGAATAGGGACACTAGACTCCTCACTGCCAATTGGAGGTTCCTGGGACCACAGGTTTGCACACCCAGACTTGCTGTCTAGAATCCTCATTCTCAGCAAGGCCGGTGTGGCCACCACAGTTTCCAAGAGCCATTTGCATATCCCCAGGCTGCCTTGCAAGGAGGAGCCGGTGACACCTCTCATGTCTGTAGATGGCTTTGTACTTCCCAAAGTCCCTTCATATTCATAATTCCTCTGATTTTGATGGTCCTACCAGCAAGGATGGAAGAATATTACTGTCTGTGTTCAACAGTGGATGAGCTGAGTCCCAAAGAAGTGAAAAAAGTGCCCTGGTCAACACAGCAGGTGGGTGATGGCTGCAATGGAGCCCGGGCCTCCAGAGCCTCCTGCCTGCATCACTATGGTGGTCTCGGCGAGAAAGGGTGAGAGGAGTTTTTCTGGAAGTTTCACGTTGGAGCTTATGTGTGCATGGGTGCATACACACTTTAAAAATGTTGGCCCCATTGACATAAATATGGGGGCTCTGAGACAGATGTCCATGGAGGAGACCACTGTGAGTGGGGTCCTGGCCTCCTTATGGGATTTGTCTAGTTGGGGGCTGCCAAGGTGTCCAGGAGCCAGGAAGGGCTGCCCCAGCCAATCCTGATGCTGTTCTTCGCTCCTCATGGTGCACAAGTGGATGCCGGTAGCCAAGTACTTCCTCGTGGTGAACACATGGGTGCTGCTGGGCCCCGGGGGCTCATCTGGCTCAAATTTTCATAATTGGACTCCTGAGCCTGGGGCCTGCAGACATAAGAAAGTTGGCTGACTACCCAATACAGGAAGGAGGACCCTGACTGCCCAAACCATACCCCAGCAGTGGGTAGGAAGGAGAGACGAGAGGGAGGGTGGGGCCTGCAGCCAACAGGGCTTGGGCATTAGCTGGGAGGTTGGAGGCAGGGCAGCTACAGGATCTGCGGAACAGGGAGGGGGCTACAGGGTATTTCTCCTCTCTGCCTTCAAAAACCATCTCCACGTCCCTTCCCTCCAGAGCAATATGCCCAGGCCTGTCTTCCTGAGCTCCAACTGCACTGACTTCTCCGCTGGGATGTCTTAATGGGCATCTCAAAGTTACTGTCCACAGTGTTTTCATGATCCTGACCAGTAGCCCCCCATCCCACCCCATCTTCATCTCAGTAAGTGGTGCCCAAGGTGATGGCTCCAAACCTGGCCATCCTAGCTTCCTCTTCATATGTGGTGCGCAGCCAGCCCCGTGGTCAGGCCTGCCTTCTGCCTTCCCCATTCCCCACCTCCACTGCTGCCTGAGCACGCAAGCGGCCTCAGCTGTGGTGGAAAGCCTCACGAGATTCCTGGCTCCTGCTCACGTTTGAGTGGGGTCACTTGTCTGCTTGTAACGATTCAGTGACTTCCCATTGCTTTCAAATGAGTCCCACAGCCTCTCTGTCCTCTCCGTCTCCTTCCCAGGTCTCCCTTGAACCTTCTGACTTCCCTTTTCCTTCAGAATTGCCCCACCACTCCAGCCTGCCCCTTCGGGCTCTGGTCTCAGGTCCCCTCCATGTTGTGTCCTTAGAGACGACATCCTCATCTAAAGTAGCCGCAGCCCATGGCCACCTTCCTCCCCGACAGTGCTACTTCATTGCCATGGCTGCTTCCTCCACAGCTCTTATTTTAAAATCTAAGCTGATCTTGTTTATGTGTTTATTAAAATTCTCCACATTACAATGTGAGTTCTTTGAGGCCAGGGATTCTTGTTTCTTTAGCACCTACAACAGTACCTGGTACACAGTAGGTTTGAGTGACAGCTTTCTGATTGAGATGCCTTAGTGGGGTAGTAAATTAGCAAGAAAAGGCACATTGCACAAGTTTCCCAGAATGTGGGGGTTAGATGAGCAGGCAGCTGGAGAGAGGGGCTGGTCCAGCCCTCAGGGCACAGGCAAGAGTGGAATTATGGGAGTGTCTGGGTTTGTCTAATGGGTCCTGAATGACCCTGCTGCCCCAAGCACCACCTTCACCCAGCATCCCAGCAGGCCACCCAGGGTCTATGAATTGAATTCTTTCTTCTTCAACACAGACCTTCACTTGGACAGAGATACTGAGAGGAGGGGAACATGGCCAGGAGGGTCAACACTTCCTAGCTGGGCCCTGGGCCCCTCACCTAAACCCTCAGGACCTCTGAGCACGTTTTGTTTGCAAAGCCTTCAGCAGAGTGCCTGGGAGAACGAATACCCCAGGTGGCTTCTGTGAGGGTCTGCCTGTTGTGGAGTGCTGGGCTCTGCAAGAGGGAACACAGCCTAGAGGAACCACAGCTAGGGGTGCAGGTAAGACAGAAAAATGACCCTCTCACACCGTGACACCAGGCTGGTCTGGGAGGGATGCCAGTGAGAGGCCCAGATGGTAAATGCTGGAGTAGGGTGGGGTAGGGGTGGGGAGAGCAGGTCAGCATGGCCTGATCCGGCCCCAAACAGGCTTGCTGGGCTGAAGGAGGGAGGGCTTTGGGCAGGCCTAGAAGCTCGTCTGGGCCACGCCCCCAGCCCTGACCCTTTGCCTGTTTTTCTTCTCATGCCAGCAGCCCTGAGAGGCCTGCACCCCTTGACCAATGGGGACTACAGCGGGTGGGGTGGGGTGGGGGCAGAGTAGCTCACTTACCGTGGTGCGGTGTCCTGGGTGACTGGGCTCTCTGTGTGAAGGACAGAGAGAGAGGAGGCATGAAATCTCCATGGTAGCCTCCGGGTACAGGCCCCACCCCTCACGCACCCCCACTGTGGAAGTGGTCTGAGGGGTACATGCAACAGACAGCATGCTAGCAGGTTGGGGAGTGACCCAGAAGATGCCTGGGAGTTCATGAGAAGGTGAAGTGAGAAGCAGTCCACAGAAAAACACACCTTTCTGAGGACGCTGAGGCCCAGAATGCTCACATTTGGAAAACCTGCAAGGAAGTCAGCATGGCCATAGCAAACACAGTGGCCATAGCAAAACAAGTGACAGATTGGGATTTCACCCCAGGAGAGTCTGAGGCTGGTCCCACTGCCCTGGGAGGTCCTAGAGGCTCCGGGAAGCCCCTCTCGGGCCCAGAGCAAATTTCCCATCAGCGCATCAGGAGCAGTGTGCCGGGGCCTGCTGTTCTTCCAAGACGCCCTCCTACTTCATGCTTGCACTTTTTAGATGTCGTTCCTCTGCTAGGAATACCATTAGCTCCTTGTTTTCCTAGCTCATGCCTGCTTATAGTTTGGGATTTAGCCCTCACTTGTGTAAAGCCTTACCTCCTGGCCCCCATCCAGCCGAGCCACCAGCACAAGGCTGACCATACTCTGGGCTTCAGCAGGGACAGCGTTTCTCACTGAGGACTGCAACTACTTGCTTACTCCTTAGCACCAACTCAAGGGCACGGAACCATGGCTTACACACCTCTGTATTCCTAGCACAGCACATAGTAGGTCTTCAAGATGCTTGTTGTAACATACAGGAATGGTGCTATATGGGAAAGCCTACGGGTGGTCAGAGTCATTAGGGAGGAGTCATTTATAGGGTGCCGGTAAAGGGCCTGACTCCTGAGTTGGGGTCACTATCGCTATGACTCTAGGCTAGGCCAGAGGCAAGTTCCTTAACTTCTCTGGCCTCGGCTTCCTTAGTGTAAAATGGGCTCACACTGGTTCCCACTTCCAGGTGATTAGTCTGGTTACCTAAGAGGTAAGCCCCCTGCCTGACCCTCGCGCCCACCTTGACCTGAATTGCACCCACCTAGGCGGCGGCGGGCCGCGGCGCGGGCGGCCAGAACGCAGAGCAGCAGCAGCGCCTTGAGGCCGAGCGCGCCGAGCAGCAAGGCGATCGCTGGAGCCCCAGACGCGCCGTGAAAACGGAACAAGTAGACGCTGGCCTCTGCGCGGCCCAGGCTGTTGGAAGCAGTGCACGTGTAGCGGCCGTCGTGGACCAGAGCTGGCAGCTCGGCGGTTACCTGATGGCTGTGACCCTGACCCAGGCCCGACAGGGTAGCTGATTGGTTACCCAGCGCAGGGCCGGACCAGCCGAGAGTGGGCGGTGGCTCCCCTTCGGCGGTGCAGAGCGCGCGGAAGGCGTGCGCAGAACCCGGCAGCACGGAGATATTGACGATTCTCGGGGCGGCTGCGCGCCGCAGACAAGGGGGCAAGAGAGAAAGCAAATTGTGATCACAGCAGTGGTGGGCAAAGAGTTACCCTCCCAGGGAGTACCACTCGGGCACCAGGCTAGTAAGGCACTGGGTCCTGATACAAGTGTGTCTTGGGCAAGTTATATCTGTAGTGCTGTGCCTCACTTTCTCCATGTGTAAAATGAGGATCACTTACCTGTGGGGCTGATGAGAAAATTTGGCAAGTTAATAATACGTGTGGAGTGTTGGACTATGGTTTGGCCCATAGCAAGTGCTCACTACAAGTTCAGTATTAATGCTGTATAACTGAGGACCATGCTAGTGGATTTTAAGGGTGCCTTCCACTCCCAGACAACCTCCCCCAGATCTAGAGTTGAGACTGAATCACTGAATGCTAGGACTGTGGCAAGGAGGTGGGGACCCTGGGAAGACACTGAAATGCACTCAGAGAAGTTCTTGGCATAGTCACACTCGAACCCAGAACTCCACAATCCCCACAGCAGAGTCCAGGATTTTTAAAAGCTTCCCAGGTGACAGGGTTGTGCAGTCAGAGTTGAGAACCACTAGGGACCAGGACCGTGGCTCCCACATCTTTATTCCTCAGGGTCTAGCAAAGTATTAGGCACTTGGTGGGCCCCCTAGGCACCCCCCAGCGTGCTGTGGGTCCCCGTCAGTCAACGTCGCCCACAATCCATTGCAGCCCTCGGCATATTTAGAATTATGGTTTACTTGTGTTTCTCTCCCTCTAGACTGCGAGCCGCTGGGGACATTGCCTCTCTAGGAGCTTCATTACAATGCCCACTCGCGGGCCCGCCCAGCCCTTCCTGGGCACAGGATTCTGCATTTGTAGTAAGTTCCCAGGTGGTTCTTAGCCATAGCCAGGTGGGAGGGATTGTGGATTGTCCCCATCCCTATCTCAGCGGCGGGCACAGAGCAGGCACCTCGTGAGCCCTCGTGGCAGGGGCAGGAAGGGGGGAGGGACGAAGGCACTGCGCCCGCCCCGGCCGCCCCCGCCCCGTAGCCGGAGCCCCTGCGCCGCGCTCACCGGTCACGCGGAGCCGGACACCGTGGCGGCACTCGTAGCGGTCGTGGACGTTGCCAGCGAACTCGACGCGGCAGAAGTAGCGGCCGTCGTCGGCCAGGGCGAGGCGCTCCACGAGCAGCGAGAGGTCGTTGCGGCGCGGGTTGCCCAACAGCCGGAAGCGGCCGTGCAGACTGACTGCCGTCTGGCAGAGCTCGCTGCTCTGCGCCGCCGCGCACCGGAACACCTGCGGGCCCGCGTACGGCTCGCCCGCGCGCCAGATGGCCGTGAGCGGCCCGTCGTAGTGGCGGTGCGGGTGCGTGAAGGTGCAGGGCAGCACGGCCGCCTCGCCCGCCGCCGCGCTCACCTCGGCCGGCACGTGCATGGACCAGCGCTGCGCCGGCTCACCTGCGGGCGGCGGCAGGGCGAGTGAGCACCGCCGCGCCCAGGGCGCCGCGGACACCCATGCCTGCGTCTTCGGAGGACCTGCCCTGGCATCCGGGAAGTCCCCGGACTCAGGAAGCGGCCGTTAGGGAAACTCACTCTATGACAATAGGGGCATCTCCTAAGACTTGACTCCCATGACTCCCGAGGTGCTGGATCCTCTCCCCACTTCCCTGGGAACATTTGCCTGATGTGTGGAGGTCCCACCTCACCGACGGGCCCGCTGACCCCATATTCCTCGCAGCAACCTGCCCTGCTGCAGAAAAGCCCCGGGATCCCGTGGTTACAGTACAGTCCCAAGACCCCCATGACGGTGGTAATAGCAAAAGCACTTACTGTGCACCTCTGTGTTGAGCAAGCTCCCGGTAGTGTCCCTTTTAGTTCTCACAGATGATCCTAGAGGTAAGCACAGTTATCCCCAGGTTACATGTTAATAAACTGAGGCACAGAGAAATTGAGTAATTGCTGGAGTTCACAGAGCGAGGATGAGGCAGTGTTCACACTCAGGACTGCCTGATTTCACAGCCAGAACGTTAGTGCACCAAAGGTTTAGAACCCTGGGCCTCATCAAGGAGACCAATGCTGCTATTTACAGGGGAAACTGAGGCCTTGCCAAGGAATGGTGTGTTTTGAACTTAATGCGTTGAGCTGGCAGATAAGATTCCTCTAGAATCCAGGTCAACCCAAGTGTAGGCTTGCCAAAGGCCTCCCAAAGTGTCCAGACAGGGAGCTAAGAGCAGAAGCGGTGGGCGGACATGCCTGCGTTGTTCTGTGCAAGCCCCTGGACTCGGTTTCCTCCCTCCTATGCTGTGAGCTTCGTATGGTAGAGCTAAGGTCTGGAAGCTGTGCTCTGCCTCCCGCTTGAAGACGGCTGGAGAACCACAGCCCTTACTGTTGCATATTTGTGTTGCTCTGGGGAAGGGGTGGTGGGTGGGTGTCAGAGCTGGGCCTCAGAGGATCAGTGAGGGGTGGTGCCTACCCAAAGAGGGGGTACAGGCTCTTAGGCCTGCCCAGCTAGTGCCCTGGTGGCAGTTCACAAGAAGGATCTTTAAAGGGAATCATAGAGCAGCCCTTGTATTTCAGAAGAACTTTGCAATTGACATAGTTTCCACATATATTGCATCACATGACCCTCAAAACAGTGGGGAGAAAGGCAGGGCAGATATTGTTACAGATGAGAAAATGAAGGCATGGAGTCACACAGGCAGAAGGAGGGAGAAACCCAGCTTTGCTGACTCCAGGTCTAGTGCTCTTTGCTCTATAGGGTAACCTGACTCATCATTGGGCAGGAATCCCCCCAGCCCACAGCTGGCAGACCATCCTCCAGAAAGCCCATCTTATCTGTGAATAATTGACATGTCAGGATATCCCTCAAGCACAGAACCAATGTCATCCACCAGCCATGTGACTGCTGTTGCTCTTTGGAGCACACCAGCCCCTCCCCATGGTGGCCCTGCCAGGGTCCCTTCGTGGCTATCCTGGCCCCATTAAGCCTTCTCTTCTCTGGTGGGAGGCCCAGTCCCCCACCTGCCCCTCTGTGTGCTCACCACCCGCTCGGCATGCTCCCTGTAACCGTATCCTGAGGGAGGCCTCTAGGTGTGCTGGACTGGTGGAGCTGGGTACGAATGGGTTGTGTGAGCTGTGCGTTGTACAAAACCACACTTTGGATTCATGTTGAACTTGCAGTCAAGTAAAACCACTTTGTTTTTCACACAATCTGCTTCTAAACCAAATCTCTTTTCTTTTTGACAATGCAATTACACTTTTGAACCCAAGTGGAGGACCTGACATTGATCCCTAGTAAGAGCTTGTTTGCTCAGTTGTTAATCATCAAAGGGCCTAGCTCCAAATTTCAGAAACCCTTTCTGAAGGTTTTGCTGGTTCAGTCAGTACTTCTAACTGCAGAAAGTGTCTCCCCACTCTTGAGGCTCTATCCCTGACTCAGTCTCCTTGCACTTCACACCCTCTGCAACCTCAGCTCCTCTGACCTCTGCACCTTGCAGGCACCACAGAGATGGGCATTGATTGCCCAGAAACTTTTGCTATTGTGCATTCATCAGTTAGCAAACATACATCAGACATGTCCCCACTCTGAGCCAGGCACTGGGAGAGGAGCCAGGGTTACAAAGATCAACAGGATACCTTATCGGCCTGCTGGAGCTCACAGCTCTGAAAGGGAGACACATCTGTGGACACATAATTACTCCACAGCCTGCCAGGTGCTCCAATGAAGGACACGAACAGTGTTCCCTCTGTCTGAACATGATCCTTGGCACATTTCACTCACCAGCTCCCTCCTAGTCATCCCTGGGTCTCCACTGAGTTGTCCTATAGTGGGAGGCCTTTCTTGAGCCCCAGGCCTGGGTCTGGTGCTCCTCCTGTGCCCCAAGGCTGGCAGAAAGGTACTTCCTCTGTGAGCACTGACCGTTTAACTGGGTCTTGCCTGAGCACCCAGGTGCTCTGGGAGGGCAGGGATCACTTGTGTGTGGTCCCATTTGTGTTGTTATCCGCCAGCATGATGCCTGCCACAGAGTAATTGATGTTGGATTGAATTGCTATGAGAGGGCAGAGGGAATGTCTTCAGGTGGCAGGGGAGGGGGTGTGGGCTGGAGGAAGCGGTGTGGAGACAGTAGGTAGGAAGGGATTGATTGGAGGACCCAGGAGTGAGAAGATGCCCTTGCAGCAGAGCCTTGAGAAAGGAGTGGGATTTTACCAGGTCTTTGTGTAGGCTGAAGGCATTCTAGGCAAAGGAGAGAGGAGGGCAAAACCACGGAGGTATGACATCAGCATTGAGGTCACAGGGCATGATAGGATAAGGAGGCCAGTGCTCTGGGGACTCAGTGGGAGTGCCTTATTTCATGGGCACTACAATCTCATGAGGTACTGTCAATAGCCCCTTTCTAGAGAAGGGGGACCTGGGAGCCTGGGGGCCAAGGAACTTGGCAGGTCATCTGACTAACCAGAAGCAGAGCCCAGGCGTCCCTTGGCTCAGGTTCTTCTTTGTCCTGTACACTGTGTTGCTTGAGGGTGCCACAGCCAGGTTTGGAAACATTCTGAAGTAAGCGGCAAATGGCAGGCCATACCTCCCCACCCTGCCCCCACTTCCTGGGGGGTTTGTTCTTGCAGCAGACAGGGAACACAGAGGCCCTTTCACCAAGCACTGCGATCTTGGCTCCCTTTAGGGGGAGGTCTGTGTTTCCTGTTTACCTGCTGGGGGGCATTTCATGAGGCAGCCAGTGGCCGTGCTCTCACACAGAGACCTTTGGGTGAGTGTACCCAGGGCTCCAGGTGAGGGTGGGAAGGCCCACCAGGAACTGCTGTGGGAGCAAATGCCCTGGCTCTGGCAGCCGCCCAGTTCCCCAGAGGCCTGTAACATTTACCATTCTCTCTGGTGGCCCACGCTTGTCTCTTGGGGAGGGACAGCTCCTGCACTGGAGCCACGGCCCCTTATTATAGAGTTTTTCATCTCTCTGCCTTGAATCTGTCATCATCCAGGGGTCAAGAGAAGACCCACATTCTTCCTGTTGTTCATAATAGCTCCTCTCAATGGTGGGCCACAGGCCATGGTGGAAAGGGTTCCAGCTTTGGCACTGCTGGGCCTGGGTGACACTCTCCCTTGTGGTCATTCTTTCATCAAACTCATAGAGTGTTCAGTCTGTGCCTGGCGCTGTTAGGCTCCTTTACTTACGGGTGAATTTTGGGCAAGTTGCTTAACGTCTCAGGTCTCAGGCTCCTCTGCTGCAAAATGGGGCCCAGGATTGCATGAAGTCATGTATGTAGATCACCCAGCACAGTGCTTGACATAGCAAATGTTCAATGCATGTTGATTTCCTTGTTTCCCCATCCCTGCAGGGGGAGTGTGAATAGAAGGAAGTAGGGTGGAGAGGGCTAACCAATGGCGTGGTGGTGCTCTGGGCATGTAAGCTGATGTGATGTGGCAGTACCCTGAACGGCCCCATTACATCTTAAACCACGTGAAATATAAAAGCTTAGTCCTCACCCTTAACTCACCTGATACCTAGTCATTTAATCATGTATTTATTCACTCAGTAGGTATGTATTGAGGGTCTATCATGAACTTGACACTGTGCAGGGTGAGGGGATGCAGTCACAGCGACTGTTAGTAGCCCTTCTCAGTGTGTTTACAGTCTGGCCATTGCTCAGCCACTGTTTACTTTTCATTTATGCACAATCCTAACAAGTTTGATTAGTTTTCCAGCCTAGTGAAATACAAACTAAAAGGCTGGAAAGTGTTTTCTGTTTGTGGGCCCACTGCAAGCAGCAAGTAATGACGGCTGACATCAGCCAGGGAGGAAGGACTCAGGAGAAATAAGGAAGAGATGGCTCAGGTCAGAGGTTATAAAAGTACGGCACCATGGGACCGTTTAGAGAAGGAGTAAGCCCAGTGGGCCTTGAGGCATCACCGCACTGCAGCAGACTAGGGGTTCACAGCAGTGACCTGAGTCACCTTGGGAAGCTCCATTGCCATGAGCGGCGCACCCCTCAGAGTGGGTATCGCTGACTTTGTGACCTAAGGCAAGTTCCCATAGCTCTCTGGCCTCAGTGGGTTCATCCATGAAATGATGTCTCTAGATCTTTGTTAAGATGACTTTTAAATTTAGAAGTCTATGTCTGAAAATTAGATAAAAATGACAAGTCTATAAAGCACTTTAGAAATATATCTATCTAAAATAAATGAAAAGATTTTTAGGTGCTTAAAAATAAGCCACTAGCTATCCAGAACGTGCAGCTACTTGAGAAGATGCCTGTAAGCCTTGATGGTCCCCTGCAGCCGTTCAGTAAATTCTTCACATTGCTGAGGCCTCCTCGTGATGACTGGTGTGCAGCAGGGAAGGGCTGGCACTGTGGCACTGGGCAACCAGCTCCCATGTCACCGTAATCATGACTCAGCTAAGGGGTAGTTGATTTACCCTGGACCTACTGTCCTGAAGCCCTGTGCCCGCGGTGCTATAGTGGGAAGAGAACTCGCAGGAGATGGAAGCACATCTGCAGGACCTGCATGGCAGAAGCAGCATCTCGGAGGGATCAGAAAAAGAAACTTTGGTTTTGGCCACAGCTGACCAAAGATGTCCCTGGTGCCCCAGTGAGGAGGGAAGCAAGGGCCTCTCGGGGAGTCATATGCAGTGTGTTCTGTACAATTGCGCTCATGTTAACCACGGACAAAAATGTTTACTGGTTTTATCCCAGACTGTGGTTCTGTGGATCATAGACATGAAAGTGAGCCAGGAATGGCTGTGGTGGGGTAATGGCCAGTGGGGGTGGCCTCCCAGAATGGCACTTTAGTGAGA